GCGAGGCTCATCATGACGAAAATTCGAATTAAAAACTACTTTTGATACACTTTGATAAAGCAACTGTTGACATCAATAGGCTACGATTCCTGAGATTGGAAATGTGGATACACTTTATCTTGTCTTCATGTAATAAATGAAATCTGGCCTATGGATCGACGCAAGTTATTTGTGCAAAGAATGTGAAGGTAAAAACTAATTTTGTTTTAATAAAATCAAATGTTGCATTAATGCATAGACAAAAATGTTTTACTGCATTGATTCTGCTGTAACTTTATGATAGTGTATCTTCTTTTGCGAGTCTAATTACTTGCCAGCAGTCTCTCCACAACCTTAGTTATTGCTGGTCTTTCTTATTAATTCATGAATGGGACAAGGGGCATCGTCACATTGTTGAATCGCCTATATCACAACCAGTAAATTGTTTGCTTATCTAGAAACATCTGCATGAAAATGCTCTAACAATTATTCTCAATAGCCTATACTTTTTTATTAATGAAAACAAACTTGTCGAATAGGCCTTTGTAGGTTATTGTAATTTTTTACGAAATGTACAGATATATTCATTATCAAATGGCAGGGTTATGTACTGCTTATGAGAGCAAAACATAGTCATGTAAAATTCTATAGATTGATTCAACAAATCAATCTTGTCTTGAGAGAATATAACTACCTCCCTTGATGCATAATTAATTGAATCATTATTTTGAAAAGTAATCCTTTATTGCCCCTTAATTAAAAGGAAAGATTGACCTACATTAGGCTACTTAATGCAATGTTTTTATCCTGGGGGCAACACAGAAGGTTAGATATGGGTCTCATTAATTTGTCATCAACTGTTCATTCTCTCACTATTGTCTGAGATGCATCTGCTGGAGAGTCAGCTGGCTGATACAGCAGGGATGTCAATAATATCACCCAGCAACATACCCACATTACCCACAGTTAAATACATACACATTTTCCATCCCCCACGTCACAATTAAACAAAATTAAACTAACGAAATAATACAAAGTATTGATGATTTCTAAATTGTCTTGAACTTTTTTCTCTAGATACTCATCTTATGTTACATCATTTACCTCCCAACTGAACAGCCATGAAGTCTGCTCTGGATGGAATAGCTGACACCACTTTCCGAACAATAACTACTGGTTTGCAATATCTTGGCTCCAACGATGTGAGCTACAATGACCCGTCCATTGATTCTGGCTTTGCCAAGACTGGATTCCATTTACAGAAGGCTCACTCTGCCCCACTTAGAAACTCCTTCCCTGGAGTACCTAGAGACGAGGAGCTCATCTTTAATGGCAACTCCGTTTACCAGACCAACTTCTCTGAACTGGTTGTCAATGGGACCTTTTTGGACGGCGGGGGTTCTATCCAATGCGGGGAGAACTTTGTGGACATGGAGTGCTTCATGATTCTGACCCCCAGCCAGCAGTTGGTAGTAGCGGTCATGGCACTCACCCTGGGAACCTTTACAGTGCTTGAGAACCTTATGGTACTGTGTGTGATCCTCCACTCCCACACCCTGCGCTGTCGGCCCTCCTACCACTTCATAGGCAGCCTGGCTGTGGCCGACCTTCTGGGCAGTGTCATATTTGTGTACAGTTTCTTGGACTTCCATGTGTTACACCGGAAGGACAGCCCTAATGTGTTTCTCTTTAAGCTTGGTGGAGTCATCGCCTCTTTCAGTGCCTCTGTGGGCAGTCTCTTTCTCACGGCCATAGACCGCTACATCTCCATCCACAGACCCATGGCTTACAAGCGGATCGTCACCAAGACCAAGGCTGTCATCGCCTTCTGCATGATGTGGACTATCTCCATCGTCATCGCGGTGCTCCCCCTACTTGGCTGGAACTGTAAGCAACTGAACTCAGTGTGCTCTGACATTTTCCCACTCATCGACGAGAAGTACCTGATGTTCTGGATAGGGATGACCAGTGTGCTGCTGCTGTTTATCATCTACGCCTACATGTTCATCCTGTGGAAGGCCCACCACCACGCCGTGCGCATGATGAGCCGCAGCTCCCAGAAGAGCATCATCGTCTACACAGCGGACGGCACCAAGGTGCAGACAATGCGGCCTGAGCAGGCCCGCATGGATATCCGCCTGGCCAAGACCTTGGTGCTGATCCTGGTGGTCCTCATCATCTGCTGGGGTCCTGTGCTGGCCATCATGGTCTACGACCTCTTCTGGAAGATGAACAACTTTATCAAGACGGTCTTTGCCTTCTGCAGCATGCTTTGCCTGCTCAACTCCACCGTCAACCCCATCATCTACGCCCTGAGGAGTAAGGACCTGCGCCGGGCCTTTCTTAACATCTGCCAGACATGCAGGGGAACTTCTCAACCACTGGACAACAGCGCTGAGTCCGATTGCCACAGCAGGAGGAGCTTAAAAGGCACAGCCACAGCCTACAAATCCACGGCTAGCTGTGAAAACACCACTGTGAAAGTGGCCAAAGTCACCCTGTTGGTCTCCGCCGAGATATCTGCAGAGGCGGTCTGAGATACAGTCTGCCATCATGTGACTGTGAAGGAATCAACTCTGAAGAATCATGTAGAATAGTCACTACCCCAACTAGCACAGCCCTGAAAGTTTGCCAAACATGAACTTCAAATTCAGCACTTTGAAATCTATGTAGCTGTAGGATAAGAGAATGTGGTTTTTTATTTCAATCTTTCAGAAGCACTTCATTCATTTATTTTCATAGGGAAATAGTGGCGATAAGCTTTGTTAAACTGCACAGTTGTGTATTTAGCGGCACGCTGATCTGCCCTTTGACTGTATCGTTTGTCTCTATAAAGTGCTTGTAGGTGAAATTGGCTGCTCTTTCATCTGTGAAGTACATTGTAAATTAGTACATTGTGATGGTTTGTAGTTCTTGTCATAAAGTATGTTGTATGAAACTGTTTTGATTTCCTTATTTTTTGAGTGATGCATAATTGAGGGCCATGTTATGCCATACAAGAGTAGATCATGTACATCTTTTCAATTATTCACATTATTTCATCTTATGCAGAGACAAATTTCCCCCAAAGAATAACCACAACCACAAAGACATGTAATGTTGCGCAGTATTAAATGTTTTTTCCCCTCTCCATCTGCATTAAATAAGTGTTTTTCTGTGAATAAACCTTTACATTTCTGTTTCAAATAAAAGCATTCAGGAAAGCAGCTTGTGAACCACACATACAGTATAATACATATGTATTAGTTTTTGCATCTCATGAGATTGATGGCTGCACTGCAATGCTACTGTGAAGAACAGACCTTGTTATCTCATGAAACTACAGAGACAGAAAAAAGATTAAGTCTTTTTGTGTAGTTACTAATTCCAAAACAGACTAATTTAGTAATAAGCAATGTATATGAATGCTTTCATCTGAACATAGCAATTGAAACACAATAGCCAGTGTATTTTATTGCAGCTGTGCTTACACGAAAAGCTTTACAATCCATCACCAACCAAGAACTGTCAAAATAATGACAAATGAAATAAAATCTACCAAGTCAGTGAAGGATCACAGGAATGTGCATTTTAAAGATGTCTCTGCTAGGATAAAAATGTGCAAATACTTAATTTACAATCATAATAATTTATATTCAAAATTATTGTGGTTTCCCCATTTAATCACCTTTGTGTGGTTTAGTTTCCAAGCCTCTGAATAAAGTCAAGTGTGCACAGTACTCATAAGGCATGTACGATATAGTCTTATCAGAGACGTGCTTTGGTCGTTTATGTTTGTGTCAGTCTGGAGGAGAAAGAGGTGTAGGCAGTGGCACATGGGATAATGTGCCATGTTGTAGTGGCACATGAGATAATGTGCCATGTTGTGTGAGGTACTGTACTGCCTTGGAAAAGTAAAACCACAACGTTTTTAAACCCAATTTAAAAATAAAAATAAAGTGAAAAACTGTAACAGAAAAGGCAAAAAAACTATAAGTGAAACAAGCAATTTTACATTATGGGCCCATGCATTTGCAGAGCAAAAGAGACTGGCAAAGGCTAACGGAAATACACCAATCTTCAAGATTAAAGTAACACGAATGTGTATGAATAGGCCTACTGGATATATACGGATGTATATGGATAGCAGCGCAAAATGATTTAATGTATTATGTAATTCCATAACCATACAAACTACCAACTTTTCTCTGCACTACAAAGGTTAGTGCTATCCGGAATCCGTGAGACGTCCCTACCCTAAACCCTAAACTTACCTAACTCTTTAACCATTTTACATTTTAACTTCAATGGGCTAACGTCAGAGCTGGGACGTCCTAAGGATCCTTAATTGCAAGGACCGCACTCCAAATCCTACCATCATCAGTCTCATCAGCGCATGCCCAAACGACCCGGCATGAGAGCATAGTTGAATATTTGACGTCACCAATACGAGAAGCAGACGGCTCGGGTGGTCAAAAAGAAGAAGAAGCTAGCTGGCTTTCAAGATGATGACGTTAGACAGCAAGTTATATCTTCGTCTGAATGTATAACTTAGCTAGCGAAGGACATCCAAATAGATAACGTTATAAGATAGGTAAGAGTGAAACAAAAGTCAACGATACACGGGCGTCGGATTGATAGGAAAGGAGGGCAACTTTTCCCCGGAAAGGTGAAGGGAATTTGTTTTCATTTGGTTAGCTAGCTTGATAAGTTAGCTAACGGTAGCCAACATCAACAGTCGCAAGACCCCTTCCTGGACTTGTCGAAGTTGCAAAGCTAGCTGAAAAGCCATCAGGATAAGCTCTTTCCTAGCTAGCTAACGAACGTTAGAAAGCCATTTTCTTTTGTGTTTCGCATTAGCCACACTGACCTCGTTCGGTCTTTGTAGACCCTCCTAGATTCAAATCATGGCATGTGGAGCGACCCTGAAAAGGACCATGGATTTTGATCCATTGATGAGTCCAACGTCCCCTAAAAGGAGAAGATGTATTCCGGTGTCCCCATCATCATCATCCTCCTCATCACCACGGAAATACCTTCGCATGGAGCCGTCACCATTTGGAGAGGTGTCATCCAAACTATCAGCTGGTAAGTACCGGATGAACCCAACTCATACCGGACATCTAACGTTAGCAAGCCAGGCCGTGTGCTAGCTTGCTGCATGGTCAGCGGGCAGCTAACCCTTAAAGGTCCAATGCAACAGTTTAAAAAAAAATGGATGGGTAATTAAGTACCTTACTGTGATTGTTTTCAATTAAAATGTTCAAAAAGAAACACAATTGCTTCTTAGTAAAGAACAATTTCACAAGCAATAATTTTGCTAGGACTGTCTGGGAGTGGTCTGAGTGGGGAGGGGGAAAACTGAAAATTAGCTGTTAACAAATTTACCGCCTGGTAATGTCACCTGGCAGGCCACAACTCTATCCCACCAAAACAGGCTGAAATTTTAGGTGGTCTTTTCAAACAGCTCTCACACTAGAAGGGCATTTTTCACAATATTAATCCAACCTCATAGTGTGGAAATATAAAACACAGGAAAATCACATTAACGGCACTTAAGTTAGCATGCTATTTTTCCAAGATCATGCAAGGTGTTAGCCAATAGCTACTTGTGTTATTGCAGCACCTACAGTGCATTCAGAAAGTATTCAGACCCCTTGACCTTTTCCACATTTTGTTACAGCCTTATTCTAAAATTTATTAAATAAATGTTTTTCCTCATCAATCTACACAAAGTACCTCATAATGACAAAGCGAAAACAGGTTTTTCGATTTTTTTCAAATGTATTAAAAATAGAAAACAGATACATTATTTACATAACTATTCAGACCCTTTGCTATGAGACTCGAAATTGAGCTCAGGTACATCCTGTTTCCATTGATGATCTTCAGATGTTTCTACAACTTGATTGGAGTCCACCTGTGGTAAATAAAATTGATTGGACATGATTTGGAAAGGCACACACCTGTCTATATAAGGTCCCACAGTTGACAGTGCATGTCAGAGCAATAACCAAGCCATGAGGTCGAAGGAATTGTCCGTAGAGCTCAGAGACAGGATTGTGTCGAGGCACATATCTGGGGAAGGGTACCAAAAAATGTCTGCAGCATTGAAGGTCCCCAAAAACACAGTGGCCTCCATCATTCTGAAATGGAAGAAGTTTGGAACCACCAAGACTCTTCCTAGAGCTGGCTGCCCGGCCAAACTGAGCAATCGGGGGAGAAGGGCGTTGGTCAGGGAGGTGACCAAGAACCCGATGGTCACTGACAGAGCTCCAGATTTCCTCTGTGGAGATAGGAGAACCTTCCAGAAGGACAACCATCTCTGCAGCACTCCACCAATCAGGCCTTTATGGTAGAGTGGCCAGACGGAAGCCACTCCTCAGTAAAAGGCACATGACAGCCCGCTTTGAGTTTGCCAAAAGGCACTTAAAGGACACTCAGACCATGAAAAACCAAGATTGAACTCTGGCCTGAATGCCATGCGTCACGTCTGTAGGAAACCTGGCACCATCCCTACGGTGAAGCGTGGTGGTTGGCAGCATCATGCTGTGGGGATATTTTTCAGCAGCAGGGACAGGAAGAATAGTCAGGATCGAGGGAAAGATGAACGGAGCAAAGGACAGAGAGATCCTTGATGAAAACCGGGACCTCAGACTCGTCCCGTGTAGCTCAGTTGGTAGAGCATGGCGCTTGTAACGCCAGGGTTGTGGGTTCGATTCCCATGGGGGCCAGTATGAAAAAAATATTTATGCACTCACAAACTGTAAGTCGCTCTGGATAAGAGCGTCTGCTAAATGACCAAAAAATGTACAAATATGTAAAAATGTGAAGGTTCACCTTCCAACAGGACAACGATCCTAAGCACACAGCCAAGACAACGCAGGAGTGGCTTCGGGACAAGTCTCTGAATGTCTTTGAGTGGCCCAGCCAGAGCCCGGACTTGAACCCAATCGAACATATCTGGAGAGACCTGAAAATAGCTGTGCAGCGACGCTCCCCATCCAACCTGACAGAGGTTAAAAGGATCTGCAGGGAAGAATGGGAGAACTCCCCAAATACAGGTGTGCCAAGCTTGTAGCATCATACCCAAGAAGACTCGAGGCTGTAATCGCTGCCAAAGGTGCTTCAACAAAGTACTGAGTAAAGGGTCTGAATACTTATGTAAATGTGATATTTCAGTTTTTTTATTTGTAATAAATCATTTTGGGGTATTGTGTGTAGATTGATGAGGTGAAAAAAATCGATTTAATCCATTTTAGAATAAGGCTGTTACGTAACAAAATGTGGAAAAAGGGAAGGGGTCTGAATACTTTCCAAATGCACTGTATATCTGGCTATATGACTAATTCAATATTGCACCATCCCATTCTCTGGGCTCTGTCTGCAAACAAAACCAGTAGTATCTACCAGGAATAATGAAACTAATAATAATAATAATAATAATAATAACAACGATAAATGTTTGATGAATCTATTAATTATGTATGACCACTGGAGTCTTTGGCCACTCAAAATATTTTTTTATAGAATATTTTGATATTTATTTAATCACTCAATCTTGCCAAAGCATATTCTGTAGGAGGGGTTAATATGAATTTAAAATAATTGTACATGATTTATATGAACTTTGAAATGAACAAGGGAGAGGTTAACCGTAGGCTGAGTCTGGGCATAAGCTTATTCCCACACTTTACAATAACTCTGTTGCAATGGTCTTAAGTAGTCTCCGTATAGGCTATTCCCTCCATCGCGACACTGCTGCCCAGTTGAAGAGCTTGTGATCTCCATGCAGCACCATGCGCCTACGGAAAAGCACACCTCAGCCGCAGAAGATGCCCTTCTGGAGGCATGCAGCCATAGTCATTATACCCTAATGTAGGCCTATTTGCCTACTAGCCAAATAAAGTGAAGAGCATGCATGATGCGTGCAACTTGTCATTCCAACATATTTGAACATTGAATTAATCCTTTGTTCAGTTCAGCCAGTCAGTATGTCATCCATTCAGTCATTTGTCTGAGTTGCAATAGGAACTAAATCAAAGAGAATGTTCTTATCCATTTGGTTATTGAAATCCATGTGTATTCAAAATTCTCTAAAGGTTCTTTAGCCTATCATTTTAATTAAATGTTTAATTTAGGCCTATCCAAATAAAAAATAGGCCTTCAACTTGAAGGCATTGCAATTTAGGCTCATTTTGGGTACTGGTGTCTTGCGGAATAATTTTAGAACTCTATTTGTGTTTTTATTATAGGGCTCCCCTTAAAGAGGCTTACTCACAGGCCTCTAAATATAGCCTCTAAATACATTGTAAACCAAATAGTTGAAGAAGCACATGCAGTGGCTGATAGGGAAAACAGATCTGGCAATAAGAATAGGCTATAGATAGTCTTTGGAACCCCTTGGCTATTTCGCTCAGGACAGGTTATAGCCAAGACTTAATCAATATTTTGTTTTATCTCATTTATTGATATGGATATAGCCTCTGTGTGATGGGGTTGTGCAACGCAAATGGCTATAACAAGCCAACATACAGAGTGGAATTCACTCAGTCTGTGCTCCCAAATACTGGAAAAAGTGTGATTCATTAGGTTACATAATCACCACAGTAGCCCCATGCGGCTATACAAATAAATTATGCAATTATATGGCCATTAAATAACACACAACAGCACGGCATATTTAGATAGCGGAATAGGCCTAGCCTAAATCATATTTACTTTCTATTTTGCAGCTCAGACGATTATTGTAGACAAGGCTCTGTGTCTATCATTCTCACACAAGTCATTTGCTGAAGGCCCAAGCCTATACTTCGCCATCTACTGGTATAACGTTGTTAGTGAATGCAGATCTAAAATAATACTTTTATTTTAGAATTGAAATCGGAAGCTGCAAAGCAACTCTAACGTCTGGGCTAGAGTTGCTTCATAGACTAGCTACGTTCAGTCAATGTTCTTTGCAGATGCCACATTACTGACAAAAGTTTGTGCGCATAAAAAAGATCTGTAGCCGAGTAAAGGGAGACAAAGTAAGAATTGAAGGTGTAAATGTTCATTCATAGTCATAACATAGGGTTTCTACATTTACAGATCTAATTTAATGTTTACCGTTCATTAATGGCTTTTCTTACGATCCTACTGATACAGACGTTCAACCTTTTGGCAGCTATCTTGCTTCATACGGACCAGACCAGGGTTTGGAAAGTCAATGGGAGAAGTGAAATTCGTCATTCGTTGTTAATTTTCTTGAAATCTAAAGCCAAAACCTAGATGATTCGAGCCAGTGTCTTAAGTAGCTGCAACTGTCATTACCACAACCTTGTGAAAGTGACAAACTTTATCGAAGGAGTGCCTTTAATTTGACGACCTGCACATGCGCAGTTCGGCGCGACAAGACTGTTAGACCTGATGACATGTTTCTGTGCATGAGCTTTGCTAGCTAACATCGTCATGACATTGCCGACAAGTGTGATCAGGGATTTCTATTGGAGAAGCAGTTTCTGCATATCTTCATACTGTACTGTCTTTTTAAAAATGTATAATGATAATTATTTAATTTTAATTTTTAGGGGGTATATCAGCTTTAATATTGCAGATAGATTGTAACTTCCATCAATGTAATTGTCTGTATCACTTCCTATCCCCCTTTGTTGTCCTTAAGCCATTTTACCACAACTTTGGAAGTATGCTTGGGGTCATTGTCCTTTTGGAAGACCCATTTGCAACCAAGCTTTAACTTCCTGACTGATGTCTTGAGATGTTACTTCCATACATCCACATAATTTTTCTTCCTTATGATGCCATCTATTTTGTGAAGTGCACCAGTCCCTCCTGCAGCAAAGCACCCCCACAGCATGATGCTGCCACCCCCATTCTTCATGGTTGGGATGGTGTTCTTCGGCTTGCAAGCATCCCCCCTTTTCCACCAAACATAACAATGTTCATTATTTTACATTTTAGTCATTTAGCAGACGCTCTTATCCAGAGAAACTTACAGTTAGTGATAGCATACTTTTTACATATATATTTTTTCATACCAAACAGTTCCATTTTTGTTTCATCAGACCAGAGGACATTTCTTCAAAAAGTACGATCTTTGTCCCCATGTGCAGTTGCAAACCGTAGTCTGGCTTTTTTATGGCAGTTTTGGAGCAGTGGCTTCTTCCTTGCTGAGCGGCCTTTCAGGTTATGTCGATATAGGACTTGTTTTACTGTAGATACTTTTGTACCTGTTTCCTCCAGCATCTTCACAAGGTCCTTTGCTGTTGTTCTGGGATTGATTTTCACTTTTCGCTCCAAAGTACATTAATCTCTAGGAGACATAACGCGTCTCCTTCCTGAGCGGTATGACGGCTGCGTGGTCCCATGGTGTTTATACTTGCGTACTATTGTTTGTACAGATGAACGTGGTACCTTCAGGCATTTGGAAATTGCTCCCAAGGATGAACCAGACTTGTGGAGGTCTACAATTATTTTTCTGAGGTCTTGGCTGATTTCTTTTGATTTTCCCATGATGTCAAGCAAAGAGGCACTGAGTGTGAAGGTAGGCCTTGAAATACATCCACAGGTACACCTCCAATTGACTCAAATGATGTCAATTAGCCTATCAGAAGCTTCTAAAGCCATGACATCATTTTCTAGAATTTTCCAAGCTGTTTAAAGGCACAGTCAACTTAGTGTATGTAAACTTCTGACCCACTGGAATTGTGATACAGTGAATTATAAATGAAATAATCTGTCAGTAAACAATTGTTGGAAAAATTACTTGTCATGCACAAAGTAGATGTCCTAACCAACTTGCCAAAACTATAGTTTGTTAACAAGAAATGTGTGGAGTGGTTGAAAAACAAGTTTTAATGACTCCAACCTAAGTGTATTTAAACTTCCGACTTCAACTGGACATATACATACAGTGAGGGAAAAAAGTATTTGATCCCCTGCTGATTTTGTAAGTTTGCCCACTGACAAAGACATGATCAGTCTATAATTTTAATGGTAGGTTTATTTGAACAGTGAGAGACAGAATAACAACAACAAAATCCAGAAAAATGCATGTCAAAAATGTTATGAATTGATTTGCATTTTGATGAGGGAAATAAGTATTTGACCCCTCTGCAAAACATGACTTAGTACTTTGTGGCAAAACCCTTGTTGCCAATCACAGAGGTCAGACGTTTCTTGTAGTTGGCCACCAGGTTTGCACACATCTCAGGAGGGATTTTGTCCCACTCCTCTTTGCAGATCTTCTCCAAGTCATTAAGGTTTCGAGGCTGACGTTTGGCAACTCGAACCTTCAGCTCCCTCCACAGATTTTCTATGGGATTAAGGTCTGGAGACTGGCTAGGCCACTCCAGGACCTTAATGTGCTTCTTCTTGAGCCACTCCTTTGTTGCCTTGTTTTGGGTCATTGTCATGCTGGAATACCCATCCAGGACCCATTTTCAATGACCTGGCTGAGGGAAGGAGGTTCTCACCCAAGATTTGATGGTACATCTTTGATGCAGTAAAGTTGTCCTGTCCCCTTAGCAGAAAAACACCCCCAAAGCATAATGTTTCCACCTCCATGTTTGACGGTGGGGATGGTGTTCTTGGGGTCATAGGCAGCATTCCTCCTCCTCCAAACACGGCGAGTTGAGTTGATGGCAAAGAGCTCGATTTTGGTCTCATCTGACCACAACACTTTCACCCAGTTCTCCTCTGAATCATTCAGATGTTCATTGGCAAACTTCAGACGGGCCTGTATATGTGCTTTCTTGAGCAGGGTGACCTTGCGGGCGCTGCAGGATTTCAGTCCTTCACGGCGTAGTGTGTTACCAATTGTTTTCTTGGTGACTATGGTCCCAGCTGCCTTGAGATCATTGACAAGATCCTCCCGTGTAGTTCTGGGCTTATTCCTCACCGTTCTCATGATCATTACAACTCCACGAGGTGAGATCTTGCATGGAGCCCCAGGCCGAGGGAGATTGACAGTTATTTTGTGTTTCTTCCATTTGCGAATAATCGCACCAACTGTTGTCACCTTCTCACCAAGCTGCTTGGCGATGGTCTTGTAGCCCATTCCAGCCTTGTGTAGGTCTACAATCTTGTACCTGACATCCTTGGAGAGCTCTTTGGTCTTGGCCATGGTGGAGAGTTTGGAATCTGATTGATTGATTGCTTCTGTGGACAGGTGTCTTTTATACAGGTAACAAACTGAGATTAGGAGCACTCCCTTTAAGAGTGTGCTCCTAATCTCAGCTCGTTACCTGTATAAAAGACACCTGGGAGCCAGAAATCTTTCTGATTGAGAGGGGGTCAAATACTTATTTCCCTCATTAAAATGCAAATCAATTTATAACATTTTTGTCATGCGTTTATCTGGATTTTGTTGTTGTTATTCTGTCTCTCACTGTTCAAATAAACCTACCATTAAAATTATAGACTGATCATGATTTTGTCAGTGGGCAAACGTACAAAATCAGCAGGGGATCAAATACCTTTTTCCCTCACTGTACATACATACATACATATAAATACATACATAGCCTTAAAAAATATATATTTCCCTTTATTACTTTCCAACCCCACCACCCCTTCCCTAATTGGAGTAAACAAGTGAACAACAACCGCTTAGGCCTCTACTTCCAGCTTATACATACTATATACATTTTATGGACACAGTCAATTTTACAATAATTCTATTTTGTTTGATTTTACTCCTGAAATTCCTCTACCCTCAACCTCTCCGATCATTTTCATGATGTCCATCCGGTTTGCCATATATCCGATATGCCATATCTTTCTAACTGTGCTCTTTCACAAAAGCTCTCAACCTATAACCTATATACTTATTATGGAAACAGTATGCTTTACATTAGTTATCTTGTTGTTATTAGTTGTTGTTATTAGTCCCATCCTTCAGCTCCATTCAACACCTCCCATCTATCTCTTAACACCATCCATATTGGATTTCTATTTGCCATATATTTTTCAACTGTACTGTGATGTTTCACAAAAGTTCTGAACCCTTCTATTCTCATTGTTTCTACAGATTGTAAATTGAAAATAATTATTTTTGCTAAAAGTATTATTATATTATTGATCGATTGACTATTATTTTTCAGATCACCCAGTAGTGCTATCTGCAGGGTTAGCTCAGGTAAATATTGCAATCCTTCAGCCATTCCTTGACCTGTGACCAAAAACAAGCTACAAATGGACAGTACCAAAACAAATGATCTAATGATTCTGTCTCTTCGCAGCAAAATCTGCAGAGCTGGGAAGATTGTATCCCCCATATAAATAATTATATTGGTAGCAAGAATTTTGTATAATAATTTAAATGGAAAAATTCTAAGTTTTGAATCCGGCATCGTTTTGCGTATCAGTTCATCAACACTATGCCATGGAATCGGTACGTCAAAAATCTCTTCCCAACTATTTTGCAATCTATATGGGACGGCTGTCAATCCTTTGGTCCTTAAATGAAACTGGTATACTTTTTTATTTATCACAATTTTCTTTAACCAATTATGGTCTTTAATGCAGGGCCGACAGACAAGTTCCTTACTTTTTCCCCTTTCCACTTTCCTCTTCCATTTTTGCGGTAATGCTGCAATTATTTGGTTGTAATTTTGGGTAGAGCAGACATTTCCATATGTTTTTGTTAGCTGCATGTGCGACATAACTCCACCAGTCCTACCTATATAATTTACGAAGATTATACCTTTTTTAAACATTATTTCAAAATATAATGGTTTTTTATCAATTAGTATATTTGAGTTTAACATCAATATTTGTTGCATTATTTGTTCTGTCGTTTCTGGAGGATTAAATTGAAATTGCATCCAACTTTCTATGGCTTGTTTTAGAAATAGTGATATTTGGGAAATTATTTCCTTTTCAAATAACTGAAAGTGAGAGGTTGTAATCTGAATAAAGGGAAAAAGGCCATTCTTGAACATGGGATGAGACAATCTTACTAATTTGCTAGAGAACCAGTTCTGATTTAAGTATAACTTTTGTATGACTGAAGCTTTTAGTGATAGGTCAAATGCTTTAATATTTAATAATTTCTGTCCTCCGAATTCATATTAATTATATAAATAGGCCCGTTTAATTTTTTTTGGCTTGCCGTTCCAAATAAAAGGGAATCTTTTTTTCTCATATAATTTAAAAAACTGTTCGCTAGGCGTAGGCAAGACCATAAGCAAATAGGTAAACTGGGATAATGCTAAAGCGTTAATCAGGGTGATTTTTCCACAAATAGACAGGTATTTACCTTTCCATGGTAGCAAGATCTTATCTATTTTTTGCTAACTTTCTATTAAAATGTATTGGAGTGAGATCATTTATTTCATTTGAGATATGTATTCCGAGTATATCCACATCACCATCAGACCGTTTTATTGGTAAACTACACGGTAATGTAAAAATTGTAAAAAAAAAAAGAAAAAAAGTGATCCAATACGTAATATAGTACATTTATCATAATTTGGTTGTAATCCAGAGAGGTTAGAACATTTATCTAGATCCTATATGAGGCTGTGGAGGGATTCAAGTTGTGGATTTAAAAGAAAACATGAATCAGCGTACAATGACACCTTTGTTTTTAAGCCCTGGATTTGTAGTCCCTTGATATTATTGTTGGATCTGATTTTAATAGCTAACATTTTGATGGCCATAATAAATAGATATGCCGATAGTGGACAACCTTGTTTTACTCCTCTTGACAGTTTAAAACTTTTGGAGAAATAGCCATTATTTACTATTTTACACCTAGGGTTACTATACATGATTTTAACCCATTTTATAAGAGATTCTCCAAAATTGAAATGCTCCAGGTATTTATATATAAACTCCAGTCATACTTTATCAAATGTATTTTCATAGTCTGCTATGAATAGCAGGCCTGGTTTCCCAGATTTTTCATACTGTTCTATTGTTTCCAGTACTTGCCTTATATTATCTTCAATGTATTGTCCATGTAAAAAAAACCTGTCTGATTAGAATGAATAATGTCCGACAATACCTTTTTAATTCTATGCGCTATACATTTTGCTAGAATTTTTGCATCACAACACTGAAGTGTAAGGGGCCTCCATTTTTTTAAAATGGACTGGATCTTTTATATTTCCCACTTGTATCCTGTTTCAGTAATAATGAAATCAGACCTTCTTCTTGAGTGTCTGATAATCTACCATTTACATAGGAGTGGTTAAGACATGCTAATAACGGTCCTCTGAGTATATCAAAAAAGGTTTGGTATACCTCGACTGGTATGCCATCCAACCCTGGAGTTTTCCCGGACTTAGTCTTTAATTGCATCCAGAAGTTCCTCCTCTGTAATTCCACCTTCACATGAGTCTTTCTGTATGGCTGTTAATTTTACATTATCAATAGAAAGAAAATCCCTACAATTAGCTTCAGTTAGAGGAGATGGAGGCGACTGAAACAAAATCATATGCTTAAAGTACTTTACTTCCTCCTTCAAAATATAATTTGGTGAATCATGGGTGACTCCCGTCATTTGTAACCAGTTTCAGTAAATTCTTTTGGTAGCATTTCTATGTTGAAGATAAAAAAATAATTTGATGCATTTTTCACCATATTCCATCCAGTTTGCTTTATTTTTATAATATATTACACTTGAACTTAATGTCTGTAAATGTACCAATAAAAAGTACCATAGTGATTGAGTGTCCATATAGCTGTACCATGATATTTGCATTGCTACTAAGTAACCCTCCAATTGTTCACCACTATTCCCCCCGTTAAAGCCCCTCCCCATCCCCATCCCAAGTGTGTATATAGCTATTAAAAATATATACAGTGGGGAAAAAAAGTATTTAGTCAGCCACCAATTGTGCAAGTTCTCCCACTTAAAAAGATGATAGAGGCCTGTAATTTCCATCATAGGTACACGTCAACTATGACAGACAAAGAGAGGGAAAAAAATCCAGAAAATCACATTGTAGGATTTTTAATGAATTTATTTGCAAATTATGGTGGAAAATAAGTATTTGGTCACCTACAAACAAGCAAGATTTCTGGCTCTCACAGACCTGTAACTTCTTCTTTAAGAGGCTCCTCTGTCCTCCACTCGTTACCTGTATTAATGGCACCTGTTTGAAATTGTTATCAGTATAAAAGACACCTGTCCACAACCTCAAACAGTCACACTCCAAACTCCACTATGGCCAAGACCAAAGAGCTGTCAAAGGACACCAGAAACAAAATTGTAGACCTGCACCAGGCTGGGAAGACTGAATCTGCAATAGGTAAGCAGCTTGGTTTGAAGAAATCAACTGTGGGAGCAATTATTAGGAAATGGAAGACATACAAGACCACTGATAATCTCCCTCGATCTGGGGCTCCACGCAAGATCTCACCCCGTGGCGTCAAAATTATCACAAGAACGGTGAGCAAAAATCCCAGAACCACACGGGGGGACCTAGTGAATGACCTGCAGAGAGCTGGGACCAAATTAACAAAGCCTACCATCAGTAACACACTACGCCGCCAGGGACTAAAATCCTGCAGTGCGAGACGTGTCCCCCTGCTTAAGCCAGTACATGTCCAGGCCCGTCTGAAGTTTGCTAGAGTGCATTTGGACGATCCAGAAGATGATTGGGAGAATGTCATATGGTCAGATGAAACCAAAATATAACTTTTTGGTAAAAACTCAACTCGTCGTGTTTGGAGGACAAAGAATGCTGAGTTGCATCCAAAGAACACCATACCTACTGTGAAGCATGGGGGTGGAAACATCATGCTTTGGGGCTGTTTTTCTGCAAAGGGACAAGGACGACTGATCCGTGTAAAGGAAAGAATGAATGGGGCCATGTATCGTGAGATTTTGAGTGAAAACCTCCTTCCATCAGCAAGGGCATTGAAGATGAAACGTGGCTGGGTCTTTCAGCATGACAATGATCCCAAACACACCGCCCGGGCAACGAAGGAGTGGCTTCGTAAGAAGCATTTCAAGGTCCTGGAGTGGCCTAGCCAGTCTCCAGATCTCAACCCCATAGAAAATCTTTGGAGGGAGTTGAAAGTCCGTGTTGACCAGCAACAGCCCCAAAACATCACTGCTCTAGAGGAGATCTGCATGGAGGAATGAGCCAAAATACCAGCAACAGTGTGTGAAAACCTTGTGAAGACTTACAGAAAACGTTTGACCTGTGTCATTGCCAACAAAGGGTATATAACAAAGTATTGAGAAACTTTTGTTATTGACCAAATACTTATTTTCCACCATAATTTGCAAATAAATTCATTAAAAATCCTACAATGTGATTTTCTGGATATTTTTTTCTCATTTTGTCTGTCATAGTTGACGTGTACCTATGATGAAAATTACAGGCCTCTCTCATATTTTTAAGTGGGAGAACTTGCACAATTGGTGGCTGACTAAATACTTTTTTCCCCCACTGTATCTATTACAATATCTTGCATATCTTAATTTCATTATCAATTAATATGCGTAATAATGTTGGCAGTTCATGAGAAGGATTGTTACCTATAACCCGGATTGCCATTGTATTACATAACATTTTTGTCAAGCAATTATTATTTTAGCAAACAATTATTGTGGTTCATCCTATATTCTCCCTAACATCCTTACCCCCTTGCAACAGATGTCGGACACACACACACACACACACACACTTACATACTCAAATCCTTTCCTCCACAATCAAACATAAGCTCAGATGCTCAACGGTTGTTACATCCCAGAGCCCAACTCAAGAAAGGACCTGATTTACGAATGCATATACAGTTACAGCTGTTTGAGAAAGCATACTGTACGGTCTTTGATAACATGATGTTGACATGTTGTCGGCCATAAGGAGTGATAAGGATTGCACTGTAGAGCGAGGCCTCCATTAGATGTGACAACAGTTGTTTGACCAACTCTCTGAATAATTTAGACTCTCTGTGTACTATCTTATTCTAGAGCAAATTCTGAACAACATCAAGCAGGAGTACAAACGCATTCAGAAGCGAAAGCACATCGATGGAGTTTACCAACAGACGGAGGGTTGCTACTCCCCAGAGTCTCCACCCCCCCTTAGTGGATCCAGTATGCCAGGTTTGTTATATGAGCTTATAGTGTACTGTTAGCCTAAACCCTGGTGAGTAGGGGAGATCCACAATAGATGATGTACTAAAGGAACTAGACTCATTTTTTCCCCCCCAACATGCAAATGACCTAATTGCTCTACTTGTGTCCTCTGCAGGCACATCTGCTGGAGGTTCTTCTCCATCAAAGAAAGAACAGCCCTTATTTACTCTTAGACAAGTTGGAATGATTTGTGAACGTCTACTGAAGGAGCGTGAAGAGAAAGTGCGGGAGGAATATGAGGAGACCATGACTTCCAAGTTGGCAGGTGTGTACAGTCAAACACAATTCACAAAGTGCACCATGTGGCAATATGTGATTTTTACAGTTACAGGCTAATTAAATCCCTCCCTTTCCTCCCACATTTCTATTACAGAACAATATGACACTTTTGTTAAGTTTACACATGACCAGTTGATGCGGAGATTTGGAGAGCAACCTGCAAGCTGTGAGTATTGTTCTGCCCATTTTTCTATTCAATTCTCAGTGCATGTACCATTCCATTGCTGAATGTGAGAAGGCAACTGTGACACCTGAATGGAAAACCTCTAAAGGTTATGCTAACATGGCTGGTTTTCTGCTTTTATCTATTATATTCCAGATGTTTCCTGAGAGACCCAGACTTTGCCAGTCGACCTTCTCTTGCTGCAAGCTATCAAGTTTAAATCTTTGGAAATCCCTGCAAGAGATTGTTGGTTTAATGAAACTTCTTACTGTGCCATATTTCTCCTTTGGGCAAAGGTTTATCTAAGCCGTTATCAGTGGTAATCTCTCTCTTGCGTAAGCAACTAGGTGCTTCCTAATGTAAATTTATGGACCCCTTCTACCAGTGGCCTACGTTTCTTCTGCTGCACCTGTATCAATAAGTTGTCACTCTTACTTTTATAAAGACATCTGGCATTCCAGACTTTATTCACTGTTTTATTTATTTGTTACACATGTATATATGATAAAGCAATGTAGAAATCCAAGGTTTGCTGGTCAATCTATGAGCAAGTGGAAGATACAGGTTAGTACGGTTTGCAGAAGAGAATTTGCAATGCCCCAGAGCCTTTTTTGTATGGGGCTTTACAAAGACTAACTAGAATTCATTCGATTTTTTCCCTTTCAAAATGTTTTTCTTTATTTCATTGACATTGTTTTCCTGGTATTACTTTCAAACATATGTACTTAGTAGAAAAACCAAACAATAAAAATGTTACGTTTCATGCCGTCATAACAGGGTAATGCTTTAACTGAAGTACTAACTGTAATATTTCAATGGTAAATAGCTAATAAAGTAATCAAGTAGAAATAATAGCTACGATATCAGGATCTGTCAACTCAGTCGCTTGTGTTCCACCACAGCTCCCTGCCCCCACTATGGAGTTACCAAATCACTGTAAGGCACATGTCAAACTCATTCCACGGAGGGCCAAGTGTCTACGGGTTTTCGCTCCACCCTTGTACTTGATCGGTGAATTAAGGTCTGTAGAAGTGAACTCCCCTGACCTGGTTGTCTAGGTCTGAATAGAAAAATAAAAAAAAGGAAAAACCTAAAACCTGCAGACACTCGGCCCTCCGTGGAATGAGTTTGACACCCCTGCGTGTAAGGATTATCTGAATGCTCATCCCAGTTGCACTTCATCTTCATTTAGCACTGAAGTGGTGGAATGATCCTGTTGCAGCTGTTTCATCACCCATTTTCAACCACCGCATGAGGACCCATCTGTTCATTACATATGAATGCACCCCTTAGAACTTGTTAACATGGGTGGTTTTCTGCTTTTATCGTTTTTGCATTTTGTGATACTGCTACTTGATGACAATGTCTTATATAATATTGTATATACACTTCTCTTTGAGTCAGTGTTTGTTACTGGGGTAAACTGTAAACATGTTTACATTTTCCACACCCTTTAAGAACACACTGTGGAGCAAATCATGATACTCAATTGAAGTCACCTTTTATTCAAAAACAATTGACACATACATACTACACAACACAAGCTCAGAGACAGTGAACCAGCAGCCTCCCCGGGTCAGTCATGACACGTGATCAGTCTTCTGCTTGGTGGATTTTATGAATCCCTGGATAAAACAAACACTTCAAGGAGTTGAGGAACAGCAATGTGGAAAAAGCATAATTTAATTATGTACAGTCAGGTCCAAAATTATTTGTACCCTTGATAAAGATGAGAAAAAAAGACAATGCAAATACTGTGTACAAAAAATTAGAAACACCTCTTTCCATGACAGACTGACCAGGTGAAAGCTATGATCCCTTACTGATGTCACTTGTTAAATCCACTTCAAAATCAGTGTTTGAAGGGGAGGAGACCGGTTAAAGAAGGATTTTTTACAATTGATACATGGATTGTGTATGTGTGCCATTCATAGGGTGAATGGGTAAGACAATATTTAAGTGCCTTTGAACGGGGTATGGGAGTATGTGCCAGGCGCACCTGTTTGAGTGTGTAAAGAACAGCAACGCTGCTGGGTTTTTCACGCTCAACAGTTTCCCGTGTGTATCAAGAATGGTCCACCTCCCAAAGGACATCCACCCTGTGGAACGCTTTCAACACCTTGTAGAGTCCATGCCCCGATGAAATGAGGCTGTTCTGAGGGCAAAAGGGGGTGCAACTCAATATTAGGAAGGTGTTCCTAATGTTTTCTACACTTGTAGATTGTATGCAAAAAAATAAGGGGCCATTTATTTTACTAACAATATCAGATAAAGAGATTTTGTTTCACAAGTAAACATTTTCTCAAAAAGATAGGGGTCAATTATTGCCACTCCTGTTTTCAATACCTCACCATGCGAGGATAACGGCACAGCTTTTTTCTAAGATGTTCTATGAGATTGGAGAACATATTGGGAGGGAACTTAACAAAGAGCTCTATTTTCATGTCATCTGAACATTGCACCAGTTCCAATCCAAGTGCCAATGCTGTTTAGCAAACTCCAGGCATTTACATTTGTTGGATGGCATGAAAATAAAGCTTGTTGGCCATGCACACCAGTGGTGGGTTTGGCGTTGAAATAAGGATGCACAAGCAGAAAAGAACACCATACCTACTGTAAAATATGGTGGTGGATCCTTGATGTTATGAGGCTATTTTGCTTCTACTGGTCCAGGGGCCCTTGTTAAGGTCAACAGCATCATGAACTTTACCCAGTACCAGGACATTTTAGGCCAAGACCTGGTTGCCTTTGACTGGAGGCTGAAACTTGGCCACAAGTGAATCTTCCAGCAAGCCAATAACCCTAAGCACACAACGTCCACAAATAAATAGTTAATTGACCACAAAATCAACGTTTTGCAATGGCCATCTCAGTCTCCGCACTTGAAGCCCATTGAAAACCTGTGGTTCGAATTCACGAGGGCAGTCTTTCTCTGCGCAATTGTATTAGTATAACAATATAATAAAAATAGCATACAACATTGCTCACTCAGTATTTATGTTATTCATTTTATAAAGTCTTTTTTTGCCAATAAATTGACCGGACTATATCTAGGCTATGGGAGAGAAAAGAGGCCATGTGGTATGAAAAGCAATATTCAAAACATATTCAAAATGCGTCACGATCAAGCATTTTAAAACATCCAACAATTAAAGGATACATGTTTGAGTTCATCCACTTTGCCATAGTACGCAAAGTCAGCATCCTTGTCCTCTGCAGCCGAGACCACTGTAGCAAAAGCCTGCAAATACATACAAATTCACTCGGTTTCTCTCATTCAATATATACACTGAACAAAAATATCAACACAATATGTAAAGTGTTGGTCCCATGTTTCATGGGCTGAAATAAAAGGTCACAGAAATGTTCCATACTCACAAAAAGCTTATTTCGATGAAATTCTGTGTACAACTTTGTTTACAACCCTGTTAGTGAGCATTTCTCCTTTGCCAAGATAATCCATATACCTGACTGGTGTGGCATATCAAGAAGCTGATTAAACAGCATGATCATTACACAGGTGCACCTTGTGCTGGGGACAATTAAAGGCCACTCTAAAATGTGCAGTTTTGTCACAACACAATGCCACAGATGTCTCAAGTTTTGAGGGAGCGTGCAATTGGCATGCTGACTGAAGGAATGTTAACCAGAGCTGTTGTCAGAGAATTGAATGTTAATTTCTCTACCATAAGCCGCCTCCAACATCGTTTTAGAGAATTTGGCAATACGTCCAACCGGCCTCACAACCGCAGACCACGTGTAACCACTCCAGCCCAGGACCTCCACATCCAGCTTCTTCACCTGCGGGATAGTCTGAGACCAGCCATCCGAAAAACGGATGAAACTGTGGGTTTGCACAACCGAATAATTTCTGCACAAACTGTCAGAAATTGTCTCAGGGAAGCTTATCTGTGTGCTCATCGTCCTCACCAGGGTCTTGACCATACTGCAGTTCGGCGTCTTAACCGGCTTCAGTGGGGAAATGCTCACCTTCGATGGCCACTGGCACGCTGGAGAAGTGTGCTCTTCACAGATGAATCCCGGTTTCAACTGTACAGGGCAGATGGCAGACAGCGTGTATGGCGTTGTGTCGGCGAGCGGTTTGTCGCATCCAATGATCTGTACACAATTCCTGGAAGCTAAAAATGTCCCAGTTCTTCCATGGCCTGCATACTCATCAGACATGTCACCACACCATTGAGCACATTTGGGATGCTCTGGATCGACATGTACGACAGCGTGTTCCAGTTCCCGCCAATATCCAGCAACTTCGCACATCCATTGAAGAGGAGTAGGTCAACATTCCACAGGCCACAATCAAAAGCCTGATCAACTCTATGCGAATGAGATGTGTCGTGCTCCATGAGGCAAATGGTGGTCACAACAGATACTGACTGGTTTTCTGATCCACGCTCCTACCTTTTTTTAAAGGTATCTGTGACCAACAGATGCATATCTGCATTCCCAGTCATGTGAAATCCATAGATTAGGGCCTAATGCATTTATTTCAATTGACTGATTTCCTTATATGAACTGTAACTCAGTAAAATCTTTGAAATTGTTGCATGTTACATTTATATTTTTGTTCAGTAAAGAATACCAACAATGGTGTTTCATTTGATTCTTTATAAAAAACCTACCTCCAACCCGTCATACAGGTTGATGACCCTCCCACACTCCAGATGGAGTTTGTACACAATGCAGATGTCTGGAGCCGCATTGGAGACTGTCCCGTCCTCGGTCCGCAGGTTTTCATTCTGAACCACACAACATTAGCATCAGTATCAGCTGCTGTTGTAGCTTTAACACTTAAAGCTTTGGCTGATACTCAGCTGTCTAAAGAGACTGGGCTTATCTCCTTTCCTTTTGCTTCATCTGCACTGATCTGAAAGAATTGTGAACAGGTGAAAGTAAGCCCAATGATAGTAGTCCACCATATTGCTTACACCCATCAAGTCTTTCCAGATTAGGGAGAGGATATGAGGAAAGGAGTTTACTAGACACTATTGAGACAAAGCCTCTCAGTGGTAAGTTGTTTACCTTCAGGTAATGGTAGGGGTTGCTGAGGGCAGTCTGGATGGCGGTGCGGGGTGTGGCGTTGAGGTGGGGTCTCAGGACAGCAGAGGAGCTGTAGTAGCACACCTCATACAGCGACTGGGATTCGGGTGGGGGCACTACATATCAGAAGTGTATTCAATCGTTTTCTTTCTCTTACATTACAAAAATGTTACCTTTTGCAGTTGGAACAGGCCTGTTTTCTTCTGGAGGCCTTTCCCTGGAGAAGATATGTCCTCCCCAGCTGCACCCTCTGCAGCAGCAACATCTGATAGGGTAGAAGCAATCAAAAAGTAAGTTATTTTAATGTGTCAGAGATCCATTTAAATGGTCAAGGTAAAAAACTCTCATCATCATTGCTACTTACTGTCCGGCTGGTCAAATTTGGCGAGTAAATCCTCCAGTTGGAGCAGTGCAGCTCTCATTTTCTTGGTCTTGCCAGGTTTCAGGTTTTGCAGCGCTGCTACAAGTTCATCTTTGGCCATCATCCTGGGGTGGAACGTAGAGTGTTCTCAAAAGAAAGGAGAGCAAACAAACTGAACTTTCTTATCTTGGCAGGTAACCGAGTAAATTACAACTTGTACAGAACTTTGAAATATGTTTCATAAAGCAATGTTTGTGCTTTATATCAACGTTAAACAACAATTTGGGAATCCATCATCTTCATTCTCCCAGACATTCTTCTCCAGACAGGATATGTGCAGTTCCCTTATCTGAAAATAGAGACATGTGTAGAACAGGCGAGACAGTCGGTGCCATGCTCTACAATTACATTCCTAACATATTATGTATTATTTCAATGGCAACCTTGATATACAAAATGTTCAAACCTGTTTCCCCAGAGGGTATTTGGATAGAGAAGATGTTAGACTGTGGAGACAACTCAGAATGGGGTAGTAGTTCTTATGGTATTTGCGAAGAACTTTCAGTCGTTTCTGACACACTTTCTAAAAGGAGTGGCAGGACACACAATCACCCAAGACCAGTGTCAATACATTACGTTAAGCGCATAATTCAGTCTTGTCAATATGAGGTTCAGTACCTCTCAACACCACTCAATAATATTTACCTTACAATTTTTTATACAGACAAACCACACAACATTTAAATAATGTTACTCAACCATCATATGGGTAGAAGAGTGTGTGTGTTGGGGACTCGTTGGCCTGCGTGTGTGTGTGTGTGTGACAGTCACCTCATGAAGGAGCGCAGCTGTTGGATCCTCTCTACATCCCGGCGGCTGAGCCCAGTGGCGTGGCCCAGGGCCTCCTCCTTACAGCACAGCACGCTCAGAGGCTGGCTGTGGAAGTGCTCCAGCAGAGATAACTGGGGAGGGGTCCCCAAGGTCAACACACACACAAACAAACTTGAGAACAAGCAATGCAAAAGATAAGGTAACTATTCACAGGAATACACAGTCCAAAATAATACATCCAGCCCACATATCTCAAAGTTAGTCTTTGAAAGACACTACAGAGCACAATCAACATTCGGTGTTCAGTCAGTCAGTTAAACATCAGTTAAAGGAGAATTCCATTTCAGCACATTTGAACAGTTCTAAAATAATCACACCAACAATCAGAGGGCAGTCCTCACCAGAAGGCCTTTGATGAAGTTGCGTACAGAGAAGTCGTGGAAGAGGAAGATGCTGACCAGCACCTGCAGCACCTTGCCACTGGGCTTAAAGGGAAACAGTGGGGTCAGGATCACCTTGAGACATAGGGGAAAAGCAATACTCACATTAAAGTCTGAATTCTAACTTGAGATAGACATGTGCAACTAAAAAATCATGCCATCATCAATGGGGGTCTTGAGTGAAAATGTGCGTTATGTGCGTTAATCTCTAGTTGGTATTCAACTGCAACTTTAGAACACTATTGGGTTTAGGAATAGGGCACAGAGGAGCATGAGCACTATGTGTCCAATACAACTACACTACCAGTCAAAAGTTTGGACACACCTACTCATTCAAGGGTTTTTCTTTATTTTTACTATTTTCTACATTGTAGAATAATAGTGAAGACATCAAAACTATGGAATCATGTAGTAAACAAAAAAGTGTTAAACAAATCTAAATATATTTTATATTTGAGATTCTTCAAATAGCCACCCTTTGCCTTGATGACAGCTTTGCACACTCTTGGCATTCTCTCAACCAGCTTCATGAGGTAGTCACCTGGAATGCATTTCAATTAACAGGTGTGCCTTCTTAAAAGTTAATTTGTGGAATTTCTTTCCTTCTTAATGCGTTTGAGCCAATCAGTTGTGTTGTGACAAGGTGGGGGGGGGGGCTATGATGAAACTGGCTCTCATGAGGACCGCCACAGGAATGGAAGACCCAGAGTTACCTCTGCTGCTGAGGATAAGTTCATTAGTTACCAGCCTCAGAAATTGCAGCCCAAATAAATGCTTCACAGAGTTCAAGTAACAGACACATCTCAACATCAACTGTTCAGAGGAGACTGTGTGAATCAGGCCTTCATGGTCGAATTGCTGCAAATAAACCACTACTAAAGGACACCAATAAGAAGAAGAGACCTGCTTGGGCCAAGAAACACGAGCAATGGACATTAGACCGGTGGAGATCTGTCCTTTGGTTTGGAGTCCAAATCTGAGATTTTTGGTTCCAACCGCCATGTCTTTGTGAGATGCGATGTGGGTGAACGGATGATCTCTGCATGTGTAGTTCTCACCGTAAAGCATGGAGGAGGAGGTGTTATGGTGTGGGGGTGCTTTGCTGATGACACTGTTATTTATTTAGAATTCAAGGCACACTTAACCAGCATGGCTACCACAGCATTCTGCAGCGATACGCCATCCCATCTGGTTTGGGCTTAGTGGGACTATCATTTGTTTTTCAACAGGACAATGACCCAACACACCTCCAGGCTGTGTTAGGGCTATTTTACCAAGAAGGAGAGTGATGGAGTGCTGCATCAGATGACCTGGCCTCCACAATCCCCCGACCTCAACCCAATTGAGATGGTTTGGGATGAGTCGGACAGCAGAGTGAAGGAAAAGCAGCCAACAAGTGCTCAGCATATGTGGGAACTCCTTCAAGACTGTTGGAAATGCATTCCAGGTGAAGCTGGTTGAGAGAATGCCAAGAGCAAATGTGACAGTTTTACATAAAAGCCTCATATTAGTCCTTAATCGAGTGCAGTAGCTTCGTACCTGTGTTACGCTCTTGTACCGGTCACAGAGCGTGCCAAGGGAGCAGTGCACCCTCTTCTGGTTAACATTGGTACTGTGTTGCTCAGGCTCATCCTCAACATCCACTGACACACCAGTACCCATCAGTCTCTCTAGAACCCTCTGCATCAGGTGCTTCAGGGCTGAGGACAGAACGAAATGAAAAGATTATGAATTGAGTTAGGTAGTATCCACGTGTCATAATAAAAAAGGCATGCACATACACAGGGCCCCGTGTAGCTCAGTTGGTAGAGCATGGCGCTTGCAACGCCAGGGTTGTGGGTTCGATTCCCACGGGGGGCCAGTATGAAAAATGTATGCACTCACTAACTGTAAGTCGCTCTGGATAAGAGCATCTGCTAAATGACTAAAATGTCAAATGTTATTAGATCAAAGTATAAATAAATCAAATCTACCCAATTACCAACCTCAAATAGCCATAATATCTGTTGTACAAATTCCCTTGTTGCCTAATAATAGAAATAAGATGTATTTGTCAAGTACCACATACATGGGACTGACCTGCACACTCTTTGGCTTGTATGGAGACAACAAAAGGAGTCACCGACTGCTGCAGCTGCTCAGAGAGGCTCTGGAAGGTCATTTCATGATCTGGCACATTCACTCCTACACAGGAAGAAGAGAGGAGACAGGCAGTTACTTAGTTAATCCCTATCCCATAGACAACATATCAAAATACACTAATTTAGGCATATCGCATGAGCCCTGTTCATACCAAAGACTTTTGCATGTGCACCCTATCTTTTGAGTAACATGCCAAGCACTAGAGCAGCTGTGGGAATCTCATTGGCTCTCATATGTGATGCCCAGTCATCCATGCCAAGCTGGAAAGTGGAGGCACTCTTTCTAATAAACTCTTCATGCCTGATAAAAGCTTGTAACTTTTCAGTGAGGTAAAACATTCACAACGTTACAGATAGAAATGTAATAAATAGAGCCGACACAATTCCCTATTCTGCATGACAGACAACTATATCTGTTCAATATAATATATTTATATCGTAACGTTGCTTCCTCCTAAACAGGGCACTGCTGACTGGCATAAGCACAATGATGGCAATGCCCAATGTTGAGAGGATAATGTACTGAGTGCAGGTAGACTCTCATCTCTGTCTGCCTTCATTTTCTTCCATAATGTATGCTGTTCTCTGTGTCCTCACTGCCATGAGCGAAATAATCCTCTGGAGAACAGACACACACGCACGCGCGATAAATACAAATGGCACTGGCAGTCAATACTACAGGATACTTTGAATATTCCGTTTTCACAAAACAAAGTATACATATTATTCAAATACTATTGTTTAAATATGTCCAGCGACCCTGATAGTTATCTATTAGATCACTCACCCACAGTTGGTCTCTTCTTTTCCTTTTTGGCACTGGGCTTGAACACAAAGCAACCCTAGCCATGCGGGGAATGTACACATGATGACACGATGATTGTGACTTCAGTGGGCTGACAACAAGCAATAACTTAACAAACAAGTATTGTGGCTAGATAACAAATGATAGGTAAGGCTAAAGTTAGTAAACCAGCTGACATACGTGGGAAAGATGTACACATCACGTCACCCCGCTCCTCCGCACACTCCACTGGCTTCCAGTTGAAGCTCGCATCTGCTACAAGACCATGGTGCTTGCCTACGGAGCTGTGAGGAGAACGGCACCTCCGTACCTTCAGGCTCTGATCAGTCCCTACACCCAAACGAGGGCATTGCGTTCATCCACCTCTGGCCTGCTGGCCCCCCTACCTCTGCGGAAGCACAGTTCCCGCTCAGCCCAGTCAAAACTGTTCGCTGCTCTGGCACCCCAATGGTGGAACAAGCTCCCTCACGACGCCAGGACAGCGGAGTCACTCACCACCTTCCGGAGACACTTGAAACCCTACAATTTTTAGGGCCTTCATCTGACACTGCCTGGTATAGGTCCTGGATGGCAGGGAGCTCGGCCCCAGTGATGTACTAGGCCCCCCCCCAACAAAAAAAACCATTGTAAAGTGGTTGTCCCACTGGCTATCATAAGGTGAATGCACCAATTTGTAAGTCGCTCTGGATAAGAGCGTCTGCTAAATGACGAAAATGTTTAAAAAAAATTGGCAAGATGGCGTATTCGGAGAGAGTGGTGAACTAAGGAAATCTCAATAAAAATAAACTCATTAGTTTACGTTTGAAACCGATGAAGTTGTCATTTCCAGCCGAAATGTGACTGTCTCAGACAGACTATGTTCTGTAAGATATTATTTATTATTTGACAAACCGATTGTAAGGAGCCCCTTAGGGGTCATGGTAGAGGAGAAAAAACGACCAGACTAATCCAATTCCCTCATTTCTTAAAATCCATTCCCTCTGATTTTGTATTCGTTCCCTCAGATTCTTTTTTGTTTTAAATCGACAACGCCTCTTCCCCTTCAGATTCAGCATGTGCCCTCAGATCCTCAAAAAGTTATACAGCTGCATCATTGAGAGCATCTTGACTGGCTGCATCACCACATGGTATAGCAACTGTTTGGCATTCGACCGCAAGGCGCTAGAGGGTAGTGCGTACGGCCTAGTACATCACTGGGGCCGAGCTCCCTGCCATCCAGGACCTATACCAGGCAGTGTCAGAGGAAGGCCCTAAAAATTGTCAAAGACTCTAGCCACCCAAGTCATAGACTGTTCTCTCTGCTAAGATTTGAATGGAGAAAGCTGATCTGAGAGCAGCGCTCCCTTTCTTTCGATCCTATTAGGATCGACACATGCCCCAACTTCGCACTTAGAGACCGTTCGTTTTGCATGGTGTTTTGGGAAACGCATGTTACATCTTTGGCCGTTGTTGGGAAGATGCATGTTAAAACACTTGTAATTTTATTGTATTTATTTTTATTTCACCTTTATTTAACCAGGTAAGCCAGTTGAGAACAAGTTCTCATTTACAACGTCGACCTGGCCAAGATAAAGCAAAGCAGTGCGATAAAAACAACAACACAGAGTTACATATGGGGTAAACAAAACATAAAGTCAAAAATACTACAGAAAATATATATATACAGTGTGTGCGAATGTAGTAAGTTATGGAGGTAAGGCAATAAATAGGCCATAGTGCAAAATAGTTACAATTTCGTATTAACACTGGAATTATAGATGTGCAAAAGATGATGTGCAAATAGAGAAACTGGGGTGCAAAATAAATAACAATATGGGGATGAGGTAGTTGAGTGGGCTAATTTCATAATGGCTGTGTACAGGTGCAGTGATCGGTAAGCTGCTCTGACAACTGATGCATAAAGTTAGTGAGGGAGATAAGAGTCTCCAGCTTCAGAGATTTTTGCAGTTCGTTCCAGTCATTGGCAGCAGTGAACTGGAAGGAATGGCGGCCAAAGGAGGTGTTGGCTTTGGGGATGACCAATGAGATATACCTGCTGGAGCGCTGACTACGGATGGGTGTTGCTATGGTGACCAGTGAGCTAAGATAAAACGGGATTTGCCTAGCAGTGATTTATAGATGACCTGGAGCCAGTGGGTTTGGCGATGAATATGTAGTGAGGGCCAGCCAACAAGAGCGTACAGGTCACAATGGTGGGTAGTATATGGGGCTTTGGTGACAAAACGGATGGCACTGTGATAGACTATATCCAATTTGCTGAGTAGAGTGTTGGAGGCTATTTTGTAAATGACATCGCCGAAGTCAAGGATCGGTAGGATAGTACGTTTTACGAGGGCATGTTTGGCAGCATGAGTGAAGGAGGCTTTGTTGCGAAATAGGAAGCCGATTCTAGATCTAACTTTTGATTGGAGATGCTTAATGTGAGTCTGGAAGGAGAGTTTACAATCTAACCAGACACCTAGGTATTTGTAGTTGTCCACATACTCTAGGTCAGACCCGCCGAGAGTAGTGATTCTAGTCGGGTGGGCGGGTGCAAGCAGTGTTCGGTTGAAGAGCATGCATTTATTTTTACTAGTGTTTTTTACTAGTTTGTTAACACAGTGTCCAATGAAGGGCCAGATGTATACAAAATGGTGTCGTCCGCATAGAGGTGGATCCGAGCGTCACCAGCAGCAAGAGCGACAGAGTCGGCCCGAGAATTGAACCCTGTGGCACCCCCATAGAGACGGCAGGCAACAGGCCCTCCGATTTGACACATTGAACTCTATCTGAGAAGTAGTTGATGAACCAGGCGAGGCAGTCATTAGAGAAACCAAGGCTATTTAGTCTGCCAATAAGAATGCGGTGGTTGACAGAGTCGAAAGCCTTGGCCAGGTCGATGAAGATGGCTGCGCAGTACTGTCTTTTATCGATCGCGGTTATAATATCGTTTAGGACCTTGAGCGTGGCTGAGGTGCACCCATGACCAGCTCGGAAAAACCGGATTGCATAGCGGAGAAGGTACGGTGGGATTCGAAATGGTCGGTGATCTGTTTGTTAACTTGGCTTTCAAATACTTTCGAAAGGCAGGGCAGGATGGATATAGGTCTGTAACAGTTTGGATCTAGAGTGTCACCCCCTTTGAATCTCTGGGGATCTCAGACGTTACGAAAGAGAGGTTGAACAGGCTAGTAATAGGGGTTGCGACAATTTCGGCGGCTAATTTTAGGAAGAAAGGGTCCAGATTGTCTAGCCCAGCTTATTTGTAGGGGTCCAGATTTTTCAGCTCTTTCAGAACATCAGCTGTCTGAATTTGTGTGAAGGAGAAGCGGTGGGGGCACGGGCAAGTTGCAGCGGAGGGTGCAGAGCTGGTGGCCGTGGGGTAGTGGTAGCCAGGTGGAAAGCATGGCCAGCCGTAGCAAAATGCTTGTTGAAATTCTCGATGATTGTAGATTTATCGTTGGTGACAGTGTTTCCTTGTAAGCCTAAATTCCATCGCTATCGGGAAACAGGGCCCTGGACATACATTTTTGCCAACACATGGCTCACCTTTTTTTAACCAGCTAAACAGCTGCTTTTCGCGAAAACAAATTGGGAGTTACCTTTTTCAAGCTAATAGGCTATGTATGTGTGTACAGTCGTGGTCAAAAGTTTTGAGAATGACACAATTATTGGTCTTCACAAAGTTTGCTGCTTCAGTGTTTTCCTATTCCCCCTCAGGAGACTAAAAAGATTTGGCATGGGTCCTCAGATCCTCAAAAAATTCTACAGCTGCACCATCGAGAGCATCCTGACTGGTTGCATCACCGCCTGGTATGGCAACTGCTTGGCCTCTGACCGCAAGGCACTACAGAGGGTAGTGCGTACGGCCCAGTACATCACTGGGGCAAAGCTCCCTGCCATTCAGGACCTCTATACCAGGCGGTGTCAGAGGAAGGCCCTCAAAATTGTCAAAGACTCCAGCCACCCTAGTCATAGACTGTTCTCTCTGCTACCGCACGGCAAGCGGTACCGGAGTGCCAAGTCTAGGTCCAAAAGACTTCTCAACAGCTTCTACCCCCAAGCCATAAGACTCCTGAACAGCTAATCATGGCTACCCGGACTATTTGCACTGCCCCCCCACCCCATCCTTTTTACGCTGCTGCTACTCTGTTAAGTATTTATGCATAGTCACTTTAACTCTACCCACATGTACCTCAACTAGCCGGTGCCCCCGCACATTGACTCTGCAACGGTACCCCCCTGTATATATAGCCTCCCTACTGTCACTTTATTTTACTGTATATATAGCCTCCCTACTGTCACTTTATTTTACTTCTGCTCTTTTTTTCTCAACACTTTTTTTGTTGTTGTTTTATTCTTACTTTTTTTGTTTAAAAGAAATGCACTGTTGGTTAAGGGCTGTAAGTAAGCATTTCACTGTAATGTCTGCACCTGTTGTATTCGGCGCATGTGACCAATAAAATTTGATTTGATTTGATTTGATTTGTTTTTAGATATTGTTGTCAGATGTTACTATGGTATAATGAAGTATAATTACAAGCATTCCATAAGTGTCAAAGGCTTTTATTGACAATTACATTACGTTTATGCAAAGAGTCAATATTTGCAGTGTTGACCTTTCTTTTTCAAGACCTCTGCAATCCGCCCTGGCATGCTGTCAATTAACTTCTGGGCCACATCCTGACTGATGGCAGCCCACTCTTGCATAATCAATGCTTGGAGTTTGTCAGAATTTGTGGGGTTTTGTTTGTCCACCTGCCTTTTGAGGATTGACCACAAGTTCTCAATGGGATTAAGGTCTGAGGAGTTTCCTGGCCATGGACCCAAAATGTCGATGTTTTGTTCCCCGAGCCACTTAGTTATCACTTTTGCCTTATGGCAAGGTGCTCCATCATGCTGGAAAAGGCATTGTTCGTCACCAAACTGTTCTTGGATGGTTGGGAGAAGTTGCTCTCGGAGGATGTGTTGGTACCATTCTTTATTCATGGCTGTGTTCTTAGGCAAAATTGTGAGTGAGCCCACTTCCTTGGCTGAGAAGCAACCCCACACATGAATGGTCTCAGGATGCTTTACTGTTGGCATGACACAGGACTGATGGTAGCCCTGGACTTTCTTGGGCGCCCTGAAGCCTTCTTCACAACAATTGAACCTCTCTCTTTGAAGTTCTTGATGATCCGATAAATGGTTGATTTAGGTGCAATCTTACTAGCAGCAATATCCTTGCCTGTGAAGCCCTTTTTGTGCAAAGCAATGATGACGGCACGTGTTTCCTTGCAGGTAACCATGGTTAACAGAGGAAGAACAATTATTTCAAGCACCACCCTCCTTTTAAAGCTTCCAGTCTGTTATTCTAACTCAATCAGCATGACAGAGTGATCTCCAGCCTTGTCCTCGTCAACACTCTCACCCGTGTTAACGAGAGAATCATTGACATGATGTCAGCTGGTCCTTTTGTGGAAGGGCTGAAATGCAGTGGAAATGTTTTTGGGGGATTAAGTTCATTTTCATGGCAAAGAGGGACTTTGCAATTAATTGCAATTCATCTGATCACTCTTCATAACATTCTGGAGTATATGCAAATTGCCATCATAAAAACTGAGGCAGCAGACTTTGTGAAAAGTAATATTTGTGTCATTCTCAAAACTTTTGACCACAACTGTACAGTATGTCCCATATCTCTCTTCCACTGGAGGCATTTCTCATCCTGTGACTCGCCAATCTGTTTAAATTTTGTCATTGTACTCTTCCTGGACACACAGACCATCTCTTTTTGGCCCCATCATGATGTATGACAAGCGCATTACGAAACATTGGTGTACACATACATTTTGAATATGCCCTTAAAATGGTGGCACCTGCCATGGCCATTGTACACTTATTTGCGCATTCTGAAGCCTCTTCCTTGTTCCTGTCCTCTGTAGCTCAGCCGGTAGAGCACGGCGCTTGTAACGCCAAGATTCCAGAAATCTTGGGGCTGACTTTTTCCACTCAAACTTTATCACATGAACACTCTTTCAGTACTGAGGGACTTGTGTGTTGCAGTATAAAGTCCACCATGTTACTGGTCAATCCTCTACACGCCGCAGTCACAATATTTAGTGCTTGCTTGATAACAACTTGTGACAAACCTGGAACATGCATTTTGCAACACATTTGCAATGATAAACTTTGTATGTGCCACATAAAATGGGCTTCATCAGTTACTTCATAGTCAAAAGAAAAAAACGGTATAAATTATCTAGGCTGCAATTGTCACTATGATCAACTGAAGATATTAAATGTAGCCTACAAATGTGAGCCTGTAGGACTTGTGCAACACTGTTTTCTATGATAAGTCTATGAAGAGTGTAATGATTCATACCAGGATAAACAAACAATCAAACAAATGTTCACCTGTAACTGCATGGCCTATTGCATTGACAAGTTAGCTGTAGATAGCTTTGTTGTTCAAATGTAGAGCACTTCAACTAAAGTGATCACCACATAGTTATTGTCACCTACAGCCGATGATGCACCAAAAACCGGTGCGTGTAGCGGGTTAATTCTGGCGGCTGGTCATCTGTCACTGGGTCCCTGAATAGGCCTCTCGGTGCTTTCCTGAACAGACACTATTGGTAATTCTGGGGGTCGAGACAGCCGCAGCACATCTTTTCGTTCTTTACTCTTTCCCTCACAAAACAGCTGATTCTTTCCACATCATTGGTACTTCTTTTATATTTGAGTAGAAGATTGCAACAGCAGCCACATACTGCTTTTGAAAACCCAATCGCTCTGCATGACAGGTCCTGTTATCTTTTCTAAAGCCAGTGTGTAGTCCAATCGCAATGAAGACGATTTACCTTGCAAAAGGTTATGTTTCTTCCTGTTAAAGTCGTATGGTTCACCACAAACACACCTACATTAACATATTTTGATGGGGTTTTAAATCTGCGACTTCACGGCCATCCTCACACAGTTGCACCTATGACACTAATCTAGTAACTTCCCCAGGCATCCGTCCAAACAAGGCTTTTGATTGGTTTGACATATTGCAAGGCATCACTGATTTACACTGGGTTCCCACCCCTTTTTTAGCTGATTTTGTGCCATGGACTTCCCCAGGGTTCCCGTTTTAAGCTAGCAAGATAACAGCTAGTGTAAATGTAAAACTAGCTCAAGACAGTTAACAGAATTGTCCATTTAAACAAATGTAACACATTTATTTCTTACAAAATGTTGCTAACATTAACGTTAATCCAGAGATTCTTACCTTTACCTCAATTTGGCAGTATCATCCAGATAATCATGGCCCTTGTGAGTGATGTGAAGCTTGAGACAGGCATTTGTAGTTCTGTATGATAGCCACATTAGCATTTCATAATTTTTTTCGGGGGGGGGGATAAATCTATTGATAAGTCACCTTGTCCGAGAGATTTACACGGTTATAAAAACATCACACCTGGGTAAACCTACATAACACACAGCCCTTATTTGAAGTGTTTCTAAAATCCCCTATGAGAAAAATAAATGGTCGAAAAACGATTGGAACCATTTCCGTGTTTGACCATTTCCCTATTATGACTCATACGGTGGTACTCTATTTGGGGTTCATTCAAGATTGACAAGATCATTATAGCACATTTTCAACAATCTTTGATTATTCTTTAAAACACTCACCCAACAATATAATGTAAAGGGACAAACCAACGAATTAACAAAAATGATGCAATGTCTTGAGTTATTGTTTTGTCATCATAAACCCAATGCTCTGAAACCACTATTTTATTACTTAGCTGAGGCACTGTATGGACCTAGTAGTAGATGAAGCCATGTGAAGGGTGGGACTGCAGAATCAGGGCTCAAATGGTCTGGCTGAATAAATACATCAATGACAAATAAAAAGTCAGCTCTTATGCATTCAATAAGGGTCAGGGTTATGGCTGTGTTTAACTCAATGTGTGTGTGTCAAAACCACCAGTCAAATGTAATGATATCAAATGAGCTCTCCACATAGTTGCTTTATAATACTGAATGTAAATAACATCCTGCAAACAAAGTTTTACAAAAGCAAACAGTTACATTTTATTGAACACTTTGTGGAAGACATGTAAATATTACAGATACTAGTGTCGAAAAAACAAAATAAATAAACAAAAAATATAATCCCATAGGGATATATAAAAACTTTGTTTTTCCTTAAAATTCTTCATTTAGCAAAAACAATTTTAGTACTAGAAGCCTCATAAATACAAACATGTTCTAAAGTCTATGTTCCTATAGATTACCTGGTTCTTATATGACTAACATTATCCAAACTTAAAATCAACCATAACATGTCATAAGTAGAAAATACTCTATCTTCAATTGTTTAATGGTCAAAACTGTTTACCATTGGATATCTGATTAATATTAACATATGTTTGCAGCATGTTACTTTTCTAATCCTGAGTTAAGAGTAAAACATAAAAACATCAGGCTGTGAGCGATCCATCAACTATGAAGCCACTTTTTTTATTAAAACCATGGGTCGCATATCTTGAAGTTGCTTTAGCAAAAGATCAGCACCATTGGAAAAAGTTTTGTCCATTACTATCTTCACATTGTTCACCGATTGAAGACTGAGAGGATTTCTGAAGTCTACAAGGTTTTGACAGGCTCCAATAAATATATCAGGTGTTTTGCATGTAATATTGGCCGTCTTCTGCTGAGGGGTACGCTGCCGTTTTAATGGCAACTCAGTCCTTGAACCTCCACTCATTTTTCTTTTGGGAGTGTGGGTCGATGGTGAAGTTTCCAGGAACTTTAGGAAAGTGTCCAGTGCAACACCATCCTCTGTTTCTTCCTCTTGAGAAGCAGTGAAGCCCTGGTCTGAAGTGTCTGTCAACTGGTAAACTTTATCTGCCGGACGATTTCTCAGAGTCAACCTTCTGTCCGGACAAGCTAATGCTCGCCGCTCCGATTTTAGTGGACGCCCCCTCTTTTTGACCTCTGAAGTAGAAGACTGCAATTCAGAACTAGCATCAGTTGACAGTTTAGCCTCTGCTTGAATGATACCATCCAACGCTTCTTGCCTCTGACAGTTGGTCTTTGAAATCTCAGGTTCACTTTCAATAGGGTCAGTTTCCTCAGCGGAGGCGTCTGTTGACATACCCTCGGATTTGTTTGCATCTTTGAATCTTGAGCGTGGGTACTTTTTGCAGAATATGAACTGACTTCTCTGATCCTCTATATATCTCTCAGTGAGGCCATGTGTGGTGTAATGTCTGAATATATTCCGTTCAGCCCGTTCAACAGCATCACAGCCTTTTATCATGCATGGGTATTGCAAAGAGAAGTTTTTTGTGCACATGGCAGATGCTTCATCCATAGATTTCAGAGAGGGTTTTCCAAAGCTAGTCCAGTGGTCAGGTGATTTGTCATCTTTCTTCTTAGTGTTTTTCTTCTTCACTTTGAATTTGTTTTCAATGTTCTCTTTACCATTATTGGGAATGACGCCTGTTGTTCTCTGTTGCTGTGTTCTGGGTATATAAATTAAATCATGCTTTTTCATCTCATGGCGAAGGAGGTTTGACTTTGTAGTGTAGACCCGGTCACAGCCATCATACTCACACTTGAAAGTCTGATCCACACTGCCTCGCTCAGAGATGTTTATTTCCATGTGAAAGTTTTTTATGTGGTCAATGTATTTCTCCACAGAGGTGAAGGAGAGTGTACATTCTGACCGGTCACACTGGAATGTCCCTACATTGATGCTTGACATCATAGCAGTGGCTTTATCTCGAGTGAATTTATGAAGTAAGAGGTAATGCTGCACTAAGGTTGTGATCCCCGGGAATATCCTTGAACAGTCTTTCACTTGACATCTGATTTCATTATTCTGGACTTCAGCAGCTTGTTCACCAGGGATTTCAGTATCAAGGTCTCCTGAAGGCAGGGGAAGGGATGACTGATGCATAGCCCTACAGTGAAGTATCAAATTTTGCTGGATGGTAAAAGCTGCAGCGCATCCTTCATGAACACAACGGTACGGCCTATATGGGCTGAAAGAATTGTCAGCATCGCACAGTTGAAGCCCCAACCTTTTCTGAACCTTTTCTTTCTTTTGCACATAAACCTCATCTTTAGATATTGTGTTTTTTGAACAACTTGCTTTTTCTGGTGAGGGTTTCACAGCCTGGTTGGATATCGCCTCTGTTGCATCACATTTCTGCTTCAACACTGGGGTGTGGTTCATATGCATGGCTGTCATTGATGGCTCATTCTTGGTGTATCCTGTCTTTGATGGTGATTCTAATTGGTAAAATGACTTGTCAAGGTCCTCCAGAGTATCTTGTGGTGATTGCACTCTCTCAACTGTTAACCGATGGAAGGAATCCTCTTGTACTACATCTCCTGCTGTAATGATCTCAGAGGACTGTGCATGTCCCTCTTGATTTGTGCTTTGCATTGGACAGCCAATGTCAATATCAAGTGGCTCTTGTTTGATGAAGGTCGACACAACAGAAGATCCAGTTCCGTTACTACTCTCTATCTCTGTTTCGATAGTAGAGTTGCTTGACTTTTTTTTGCGACTTCCAACCTTTAACTTGTTCATCTCTGCCTGCGTCAGGTGGTGAACTTTTTCATAGTGAATTCTTAGGCCTGTGGTTCTGGTAAATGTTTTTGGGCAAATGTGACAAGGATATGGAGAGAATTTGACTGGGGTTTTCTTGAGGTCCTCGATCATCTCAATTGTGTAATCATGAACTCTAGCAAGGTGTCTGAACAATGCCTCTTTTGTCATGAACCCATACTCACAATTATCCATTTCACACTTGTACGGCTTGGGGCCATTGTCACGATTCTGGTCCTCCTTTACAATCGGTTTTGTTGTCGTGCTTTGATCACTATCTTTTTGACAGACATTATCGTTTGAGATCGCATTGATTTGGCGGTCATTGTACTTTGAGGAACAATTTTCCTGCAAACTTTTCTCATGTGCAGCTTCAACTAAATCCAACATTTGTAAGGCATTTTGAATTTCTATAACGTTGTCATCTTGACATGCTGCAATGGAAGTTGTATTTGACCTTTTTTCAGCAAGACTATCATTCGACTCTCCATCCTTCTGCTGACTACCAGCATAGTTTTTTGACTGTATCAATTCTATCCAAACTTCTGTTTTATTTGGGCAGAGTTTGGATTGTCCACCGGTCAAAACTGAAGGACTGGTGTTTAATGAATGAGAATCCAGTGGTGTTGGGGTTTCCTTTTGTGCCAAATCAGAGGGATTTGGTGTGGAGAGATTTGGGAATTCAACATTTAGCAAGTTGTATATTGATCCATTGGTTTCAGGAACATTTGGGTCATTGAGAAAGTCGAGAAATGACGTAGGCAAATCTGCTGTTAAGTCCATTTCATCTAATGGTTTGCACTGGGAGCGTTTTGAAAGATGACCTCCGAGAGATTTCGTGCTTGAGAATTCTCTAAAGCATCTTCGGCAGATAACTTTACCATCCTTTATAATAGCAGGCCATTTCGTTCTCTTGCTGAGTCTGCAGCGTTTTACTGTCTGTGTCTCATGATCAACATTCTTGGCGTCTGCAGGGATAGCTTCAGATTCTGTATGACATGTGCCCTCATCATACGGGAAATCTGTTTGGATAGAAGCATGTGGACTAAGAAGCATGTCACCTACAGAGCTGTTCATCTGATTCTCATAATTGGGTGATGTAAAATGGGTTATGTTCTCCATGTTGGTCATCTCCACTATGTTTATTGGTGCTACTTGGCCATCATGACTCAATACATTGCTTGGAATGTCTGTTGATGGCCTTGATCTTGAATTAAGATTGGAAGATTCATCTGGGACATATGAAGCATGGAAACCTCCAGCTGACAAATTGTTACCATTACTTTCTTGGGCAAACATATTGGAATAGTTTTTTCTCATTAGGGAAACATCAACACTTTCTGCATTAATCCCAGAGTTAATTATCTCATAGTGTTGTCCTCCACTGTGCATGTGTCCTCCATTATCTAGCATAAGTGAGCTTGACACATATTCTGACATCTGATTCATCAAACTTGATTCTGATTTAATGGGTTGGATGGCACTACCATGCATATTTGCTGGTGGATGTTCTCTGCCCCTTTCTAATGGATAGCCAGTTTGATGCGGTTCTGATTGCCAAGGAGCTACGCTCTTATTGGGGTATTCATTCAGATGGAAGGCATCTGCATAGCAGTTGTTCAATGTAGATGTCCATCCTTCACCCATCTCTGACTGCATTAGCCCAGTCTGATTTGGTGGGGCTTCCCAAGGGGGGCAAACAGCAGGTAAACTTGAACATGCCATCGGATATTCGAACTGCTGTAGTCCAGCATTTCTGCATTGTGATACTTGATGAAGTGATGTTTTGTCCTTTGGGTCCTGTGAAGTCCTGTTCACGGATGGAACCTTTCTCGAAGTTATTTTGGCAACTTTCTTGTACTTCTTTGCCAGTTTCCAGTCTTCAAAAATGTCTGGATGGTTTTTCTTTACATGTCGGGAGAGACTTTTGGGGGTGCTGTATTTGCGGTCACATGCTTCAAGTGGACAACTATGTGTGTCCTCATCTCTACCAGTTATTGCAGGAGTGCTTTGATATGGATGTAGCAAAAATGGGGGTTCACTCTTAATTTCTGGTAGAGGAAAGGCCTGTGGTAACACTTTCTGAACAGCTTGAGTTGGTCGGTTATCCAGCTCCTCTTTTGGGTACCCTTTCAAGGGATTGGTTCCACAGTGATTTTGGGGATCCTCACAATTGCCAATCATATCTTGGCATGGGTGTGGGACAGCAGGAGATAGTTTTGCATTCTCCAATCCGAGTTTAGTTTTGATGAGTGGAACATAACACTTCTGTAACTCCTTTTTAGGATTGATAACAGAATTCAACATGCTCTCGACTGAATGTTTTATTTTCACTGGGCCATTTGGGTTCTCAGGAACTGTTGATGTTGATGAACCCGATTTAACCACTCCTTCCTTCACATAATCCTGTGCAGTCTTCTGATCTAGACTGACAGAGGCAGAGCAGGTTTCCTCTTGCCTAGCGGAGCACTGGGTGGAAGGTTCCATTTTAGGTACAGGATGGTTCTCACTTGTGATGGGCACTTCATTTTTATCATGGTTCTGCTGATGCAAATTTAGTTGGGACTGTGAATAGAAAATCTTCCCACAATTAGCTATTTTGCAAGTGAATGTAAGGTAATGTTGTGCCTCATGATCATACAACAGGTAGGCCTCATTGAAAATCCTTCCACAATTAGGGAACATACACCGTGCCTTAAAGTCAGTGTGTTGTCTTTTGTGCATGAGAAGTTCCGAATTGCAGTGAAAGCTGGCTGTGCAATTCAGCTGTATGCAATAGTATGGCTTAGCACCACAGTGCATTTGCAAATGATCATTGAGATGTCTGGCATTAACAAACTGCCGACGACAATACTGACAAACAACCTTCTGTCGTTGTATCTCCAAAAACCGTGTTGCTTCCTCGTCATTTTTGTGGGCTTTTACATGTGTTACAAGACTCCGAAAAAACTTGAATACCTTCTGACAGTATGTAACAGGGCAGACACAATCCTCTGTAAATTCCACTTCATATCTAGTTGGTACAGGCTTTGGAGGAGTTACTTGATTTTGTATTGGCTTTTTAGGACTGACTTGGACAGTTTCAGCACTGTTGTGATTTCCATCCAGAAAATGTGCCTCATTTGGACTGACATTGGTCTCTGCCTCAAGCTTAACCACAGCTCTATCTTTCAAATTATTCCAATGAGTGCTGGTGGATTGCATTGGCTTGGGCAATTTCCTAGTTGCTTTCATAGCAGCAAGTCGCTCTTTGCAAGATTCCTTTACATGTGACGCTACATGTGGCTCAAGGATCTCCTTCGTGTTAAAGCTGTCAGCACAAATTGGACAGGTGTAGACCCCATCTTTAAAATGCTTCTGTGCATGACGGACTATCCTGTGGCCAAGGAACTCTTTATCACATAGAACACAATACTGCATATATGCTCGCCAATTCCTAAATCTTGCCGATACAAACCCTTTCTCCCTTAATTTCTTAGCTTCCCTATTTTTCTCTTTTTCATCTGCAATTTCATTCAATTCATTTGTTGTGTTCAAAATAAAGTCCTCAAGGTCTTTGAACTCTGGACCTTTTTCTGCTGCATCGTCTTCAAGTCCCTCAGTGTCATTGAGAGTGTCGATAGATGACACAATGGATGCCTCCTCACCCATCAATGCCAAACAATTGCGCTTCAAAGTTCTCCAGTCCCAGAATTCTGGATCAAAAGGCCACTGTGTCTTCAAGGCCAACAGTAACTCACAGCGTAGTGAGTTGGGTACTGGAAGATTCTCATCCTCACGCTTTTCATCAGGTTCATTATAGAGTGATTCAACAGCATAATATGAGTCCACAGTAGGCTGAATGAGGAACTCTGTTAGTTGGCATGCCTGTTTCACCTCGAAATCAGTGGGCAAAAGGCAGGAAATAGTTTTGCAGATGGTGGTCCTGCTGTCCGTGTTGTCACTGGATGCCATTTGTAGAGCTCGAATGCACATTTCAATGCACACAGGCAGTCCCACTTCTCCAACCTGAGATAATAATAAATCCAAAGTCAGTCATGAGAATATAAATCGCTACAGGCTATATCCAGGCAGAAACATACACAATTTTACACAAAAAAATTCACCTCGGATTGTATAACCTTGATGAGGAAGAGGATATGACAGACGTTCCTTGAAAGCAGGACCAACTTTTTGCATTGATCAAGAAATGAATCTGCTGAAGACTCGGACCGGATTAAAAGCTTACTCCAGAATAGTGTGAGCTCCCTGTAAGAAGAAAAGTATATCATTATTGGTCTGCCTCACATGAAGGGCTTTACAAGAGATAGTTTGTTGTCAACATACAATATCTGCACTAAACTGTGAGAGCGAGTGGAAAATGAAAAGAGGGCAATACTCACCAGGCACAATACACATCTCCCTGGAGAAGCTGCCGCTTGAGGAATGCAGAGCACAAACAAACGGCTCCTTTTTCATCCCCATCCGACTCCAGGTTACAAATCATCTCCAATGCCTCCTTACAGTCTACCTGAGTGATCTGGCCCAGAGAAAACATATGTCATAATGATGGTAATTCATTGCCACCCACAGTTTATCGTTTTCCATTAGGGTCATTTTCATTATCAAACAGGAGTTTTTCATTTGCTCAGCAAATCTCCATCAGTGCTTAAAAGACAAGCCGTTGGTCAGCCCCTTTTTTTGAACGCACTTGTCTGGTAAACGACTTTATGTAAATGCTATTCACTCACCTCTTGCATGAGTTGTTCTTGTGTTTTTGTCATACACAGGCAAACAAGGTATGTCTGCTTGAAGTTCCCTTTTCCTTCGTACTCTGGATACTCAGAGCACATCTTCGCTAAGACAGCTGCTTTCTCTGCTCGATTCTGTTTGATAAGGTGCTTTATTCGCATATTAAGGAGTGTAGGACCTTCCATCTGCAGGAACTCATTAACTGGGGAGTAGAGAAAGAGAACACTGTTACAGATAGCATTACTGAGCAGTCACCACAACATTTAATCAGTCATCTCACATGTAGAACGTTTTTGCTATTAGGAAAAAAACACAGGTAGGCTAAAACTAACCTCTGTCAATTTCCGGTATCTCATTAGACAGAATGCTGCACAGAGTGGTGTTGGTCCACACACCAGGCTCCTGTGCCATAGCTGATAGCATGTGAAGCTGTGTGTTCCCATTTTCTAGCAAAAGGCTGTGTGCCGACTGTAAAGGAGAGGAAATAACTTCACAAAACTTTTCAGCTATACAAACCAAAACTTTTCAAAACATAAGATTCTCTAATTATGTCAAATAGGGTTTGTGATATGTGCATGCATGTTCCAATTCAGCTTCAAAGAAGCGACTTCATGTTTTCATTGTACTTTCATTGGGTCACCATGTCATTCTTTTTCTAGAGAGAATTGGCAGTAGAAATAAAATAAAATAAATGTAGGTTTACTGAGCATTGGAGACTAACCTTGACAGAGGACTGAAACTCCCCCCATAAGGCACCAGGGACATGCTCAGGCAGTGAGAGCAGGAGCTCCAGACAGCTCCTGCAAGTAAAACAGGGTCATTCAATTAGTTTGTTTAGGTTCATGCTAAATGATGCTAAAGTTGTGTGTGCAGATGACTAAAATGAAAGAAGCACTACCCCCTTCTGCCGCAGATCTTATAAGAGAAGCCTCATTTATTTAGCTTGTGAAATGAGTGAGGCAGGATTAGGGCTGTAGCAGTCATGAAATTGTCAGCCGGTGATTGTCAAGCAAATAACTGCCGGTCTCACGGTAATTGACCGTAAATTAACATAAACACATTTAGCATCTCCTGGCTTCCACGCATAGCCTACAAGCCATTGATGCGGACCTTTGGAACATCTACATTTACAAAAAGTCTAATAAATCCATTTAATATAACCTACACCATCACAATAAATCCATTATTTATTTTAGACAGGTCTAAAGAAACATAATATGAAGGAAATGTAGTCTATTTCAGAATAATAGAATAGCATACTCTGAGTTGTCCTTACGTTAGGCCCTGATCTGGCTATGCCATATGGCTGTAGGCTACACTAGTTCATTTAGCAGATAACATTTGCTTAGAATTCCGTAGCATTATTTTATAGTATGAAGAATACAACTGAACAAAGCTGAATAAAATAGAAAGGATATTGAGCGTTTAACAAAGAAACAGGTACTCCTATATGCTTAATTTAGAATTATTTATATAACTTTAGTTGTAATACAAATGTTGGGCTATATGTTTTGATTTTTTATACAGTGGGGGAAAAAAGTATTTAGTCAGCCACCAATTGTGCAAGTTCTCCCACTTAAAAAGATGAGAGAGGCCTGTAATTTTCATCATATGTACACGTCAACTATGACAGACAAAATGAGGAAAAAAAATCCAGAAAGTCACATTGTAGGATTTTTAATGAATTTATTTGCAAATTATGGTGGAAAATAAGTATTTGGTCAACTTCAAACAAGCAAGATTTCTGGCTCTCACAGACCTGTAACTTCTTCTTTAAGAGGCTCCTCTGTCCTCCACTCGTTACCTGTATTAATGGCACCTGTTTGAACTTGTTATCAGTATAAAAGACACCTGTACACAACCTCAAACAGTCACACTCCAAACTCCACTATGGCCAAGACCAAAGAGCTGTCAAAGGACACCAGAAACAAAATTGTAGACCTGCACCAGGCTGGGAAGACTGAATCTGCAATAGGTAAGCAGCTTGGTTTGAAAAAATCTACTGTGGGAGCAATTATTAAGAAATGGAAGACATACAAGACCACTGATAATCTCCCTCGATCTGGGGCTCCACGCAAGATCTCACCCCGTGGGGTCAAAATGATCACAAGAACGGTGAGCAAAAATCCCAGAACCACACGGGGGGACCTAGTGAATGACCTGCAGAGAGCTGGGACCAAAGTAACAAAGCCTACCATCAGTAACACACTACGCCGCCAGTGACTCAAATCCTGCAGTGTCAGACGTGTCCCCCTGCTTAAGCCAGTACATGTCCAGGCCCGTCTGAAGTTTGCTAGAGTGCATTTGGATGATCAAGAAGAGGATTGGGAGAACGTCATATGGTCAGATGAAACCAAAATATAACTTTTTGGTAAAAACTCAACTCGTTGTGTTTGGAGGACAAAGAATGCTGAGTTGCATCCAAAGAACACCATACCTACTGTGAAGCATGGGGGTGGAAACATCATGCTTTGGGGCTGTTTTTCTGCAAAGGGACCAGGACGACTGATCCGTGTAAAGGAAAGAATGAATGGGGCCATGTATCGTGAGATTTTGAGTGAAAACCTCCTTCCATCAGCAAGGGCATTGAAGATGACACGTAGCTGGGTCTTTCAGCATGACAATGATCCCAAACACACCGCCCGGGCAACGAAGGAGTGGCTTCGTAAGAAGCATTTCAAGGTCCTGGAGTGGCCTAGCCAGTCTCCAGATCTCAATCCCATAGAAAATCTTTGGAGGGAGTTTAAAGTCTGTGGTGCCCAGCGACAGCCCCAAAACATCACTGCTCTAGAGGAGATCTGCATGGAGGAATGGGCCAAAATACCAGCAACAGTGTGTGAAAACCTTGTGAAGACTTACAGAAAACGTTTGACCTGTGTCATTGCCAACAAAGGGTATATAACAAAGTATTGAGAAACTTTTGTTATTGACCAAATACTTATTTTCCACCATCATTTGCAAATAAATTCATTAAAAATCCTACAATTTGATTTTCTGGAATTTTTTTTCTCATTTTGTCTGTCATAGTTGACGTGTACCTATGATTAAAATTACAGGCCTCTCTCATCTTTTTAAGTGGGAGAACTTGCACAATTGGTGGCTGACTAAATACTTTTTTTCCCCACTGTACATGCTAAGGCTGCATGATGCGACTAATGATGATTTGAAAAAAGTTGCATGAGCTCTGCTTTTTTAATTTTTGCGCAGGCTGTACACACGTCATCAGTCTCTCATTCACAATTTGACAAGCACTTACATTTCCCGGCTGCATCCCCTTTGCGTAGCCGTAATGCCCCCTAAAGAAATCCATGCCTTTTGCAGCCAGTGGCCGTTGTGCCCTTGGGCTGAATATAATAATTATAATTCCCTTCTCCCAGCTGTGTGCCGAAGCACTCGGCACCTCTCACTCACATGGCTCTCCGTCACGTGATCGGGTCTTTCTCACAGGCTACAAGTGAAGACGGACACATCGGGGAAGCAACTGCGCGTGTCCTTATCCAATTCCGAGGAGCATATTGAAGATATGTCCACATTTGTCCACATTTACTTTTCGTCAGCTGTCCACATTTACTTTTCGTCAGCCAACAAGAGGAGTAGGCCTAACAAACAGCAAAGGCACTAGCCTATGTCAATCTACTATCCCCCATAGTACCAAAGTTGACCTATTCTGTGCGAGAAATAAATATTCCAAACATAGTCTCGGACAGTTGTGGGGTGCGATAGATGCCAAATTAATACAACCACTAGCATAAAAAAACTATTTTAAGCAATGAGCCTGACACAATAGATGAGAACGTTTAGCTTAAAATATTGATAAACTATTAGGCTATTTCTTCACATTATAAGCGCAGCAATGCCCCAATTTCGTGATATCCAATTGGTAGTTACAGTCTTGTCCCATCGCTGCAACTCCCATACGGACTCGGGAAAGGCCAAGGTAGAGAGCCATGCGTCCTCCGAAACACAACCCTGCCAAGCCGCACTGCTTCTTGACGAACTGCTCGCTTAACCCGGAAGCCAGCCGCACCAATGTGTCGGAGGAAACACCGTACAACTGGCGACCGAATTCAGCGTGCATGTGCCTGCCACAAGGAGTCGCTAGAGCGCGATGGGACATGGACATCCCAGCCGGCCAAACCCTCCCCTTATGACGCTGGGCCAAATGTGCGCCGCCTCATAGGTCTCCTGGTCGCTTCCGGCTGCGACACAGCCTGGGATCAAACCCGGGTCTGTAGTGACGCCTCTCGCACTGTGATGCAGTGCCTTAGACCGCTGCGCCACTCGGGAGGCCCATAAAGGTGCATTTTTAAGGGGGAAATTATCTTCCCCAAACTTGATACTCATGCGCTGTGCATGTATGCCAGTTAGGCTCTACACCCGTAGGCTACATGAGGTGTGCGACTATGATTTGAAAATGCGCTGTTTCTTGCCTTAAGCTGGGCATCATTCACAAGTAATAATATATCATTCACAAGTGATAGGCTAATATTGTCACCCATCACACTATTATTGATTTAATATTGTCTTTACATATACTAAATAATATGTGTGTGAAATTTGTTTGATTTAGAATGGACTATTATCATGCACCTGTCTCGAAACAGGGACAGCGGGAAAAAATACAAGTCATCTATGCACTTAAATACCGAATGGAGGATGCTTTTCCCGTGGTTCATTTTCATTTTTGCCAGCCAGGTAGACTATTCTCCTGTTGTAAAGTGTAGCAAAGTGCTTAATATTAGGAAAGTTGAGAAATAAATAGTAGGCCTAGTCTATAGAAAGCAGATGGAATCCTCCTCTTTTTAATAGAGGTCATCACTCTGTTTTCTTACGTAATTGCATAACCTATAGAAATGTTGCAGAACATGAGCTCATGAAGTGTTTGATTAGATTTTTGTCAGAGTGATTAGGGGGACAACAGAGTGCTGAGTACCAGGCAGTTAGCAAGTTTGGTAGGCTCCTAATGACCATCAGAGCATCAGAGCTTGGAGAAGCCTAATTACTGTGACTAAACGGTCACCTTGAATTTGACTGCCATCATGACTCATGACCGCTGGTGTGGCAGTAATACGGTCAACATAACAGCCCTAGGCAGGATACAGTTTTATTGGTCAGTAGCACTAGTCAAAGTGGAATGCTCACGGTCATTCAACAGCATAGGCCTAGCACCATCTGAAATACTGCACAGCTGGCTCCATGAAGCAACCATGCATTTAAATCAGATATTGACATTTTCTCTGAGTACTCACAGTGCTAGGTTTTCAAGTACGAGTGGCACATTTTCACATTCGGAGGAGAGACAGGAGGTGGCCTTGGCATAACTGAGTATAGCCACTATGTACGCCTCCAGTAAAGGCAGTGGCTCCTCCTCAGTCTTCCATCGGCCTGCATGTTCCACAAGGATCTGGAAACAAATGACAAAATCATGGCATGCTCTCAGAGTCTGGAATGAAGTGTAGCAAGCTGATTAGTGCTTGCTATTAAATTAGTATTTCTTCAACTTTCCAACTACTTGACAATTATCATACAAAATGACAAATGGCCTAATTTCATTAATTATTAGTCCTTCCAGGTAAATTAGGCTACATTCCATTAAAATAGCAAATTGAGAAAACCACAACTACCAAAACAATTGTGAAATAATTAGAACCGGGACGATACCAGTATCGATAGCAACGAAACAAGGATTTAACTTCTTTAGGAAAACAGCTCTAACAGCCCTCATCCAGAGTCACATTTTATTAATTTTTTTAAGCAATAGCACATACAGCAGGTTTTTAAAGGACCAAAGGGTTTGGCCTGCTTAGTGTTTACATTTTTGCCATGGAAAACATACTGCGATTCTAGTATCGTCCCAGCCCTAGAAATAATAATCCATACTCTAGCCCAGGGATAAGCAATTCCTGCCCTCAGGGGCCTGATTGGTGTCACACTTTCCCCCCCAGCCCTACAGCGAACACACCTGATTAAACAAATTAAATTCTAAACTGAAGACCATGGTTAGTTGATTATTGGAGTCAGGTGTGTTAGCAGGTGATGAGGCAAAAGTGTCACCAATCAGGCCCCCGAGGACTAGAGTTCCCCATCCCTGCGCATCCCTGCGCTAGCCTATGGCCCTGTCATACCTAATATAATCAGATCGTAACTAGGTTTCCATCCAATTAGATGTTCATGCGAATATCCTAAAATCTGCATAAAGAAAATATACACATTTTCCCACCAGTGGTGTTTTCACCAAACGGACTTGTTGTGGATAAACGTCAGTGCATGATGACCTAGTGCAAATGTGCCCACTCTGATCTTGGCACGTGTGCTCTAGCCAACAGCTCGCAGATCCAGCGGGTAGGCTGTGCGGGTAGGCTGTGCGGGTAGGCTTGAGATTATTATGGATAACAGTGAGAATATTTCTATTTGTAAAACGGAGCCAAAAATCGATCATCATGTCACCTTAATATTTATTGGAAAGGAGCATCAAACTAATCACAGTGCACTTTCACCACCCTGTGAAGTTCATAACTTATTTCATCTGTAGCCTAATAAAGTACATGGTTTCCCGAGTCATCGCGTGACTCCAAGTTAACTTCGATAGGATAGTTATTATATCAATATTTGCGCATTAAAAAGGCGTTTCCACCGCCATTTCTCATAATTAATTTAACTGACAAAAAGATCCCCCCACATACTAATTATCTGTCAGCATTTATAAAATTGAACCGAAACTTTGTTTCAATCACAGTTGTTGTGATTTTTATAAATACGGTATGACTTTACGCGCATAAAAACTGTGGCTGGAAACATGGTTTGTGATACCACAGTCAAACAATGCACTGCACAAAATTGGAAAGTTACCACTCACGACATCTACAAGCAAGAATGTTGAATAAAATTACATTTGAATTTACTCTACCAGCTACCTGTGCGGATTATCCTTTTCTCTCTCAATTTTAGAAAAAAAATCCACAGGAAAGTATTAAACCGCCTTTTCAAACGCTGTTACTGCTGTTGCGATTTCTATTACTTGGCACATGCTCAAAACCATGTAAACACCTGCAAGACATCGGTTAGCATGCGTGCATCGCGTACATGTACTTACGTCTTGTGCGCTTGCCTCAGGCGATGAACAAACAAATTGTGAGAGCCACAGAGACCCTTGTTTTGAAGTCGGTTTAAAGCAGCACTATGCAGCTGGTTGCTAATTTCAGTATGTGACAAAACAAGCAAGTATAGTGTAGAGAATCATTACCATCTAAACCGCTGTGAAATATATTTTATATAACCAAAAATATAGTATTTTCAGCTGCTTGAAGCTGGTGTACAAAACTGAAAGTAAAAGACGGAAAAATGAACAACGTTATAACGGGAAGCATAGAAATAGCGCCATAGAACAGATCTACTGCTTCTTAGATTTGCTTTCAATGCGAATGACAGATCTAGATAACTCACATTTCTATGTGAATTTGGTCGGGTTGGCCAAAAAGTTACATATTGCAGCTTTAATAATACTTTCCTGTGGATATTTCTTCTCAAATTTCAAGAAACAAAAGGACCAACCGAACCGATAACTGGTAGAGTAAATTCAAATGTAATTTTATTCAACATGCTGGCTTGTAGAGGTTCTGAGAGGAAACGTAAAAAAACATGTTTGCAGTGCAACGTTTCAGACTATGTAACCAACCAAAAAGGTATCACAGCCAGATATATTAGGCAATGGCCTGTCTAGCAGCACCCCTTGGATGTTATCGGCTAGTTCATTTTCCTTTATGTCTTGAAATGTGTCAAGCCAAAACCTAGCCTATTGAGACTCAGTCCTGGGACACTCCATTCAACAGCCATTCGGAAAGTATTCAGACCCCTTAACTTTTCCCACATTTTGTTACGTTACAGCTTTATTCTAAAATTGATGAAATTTATTTTTTCCCCTCATCAATCTACACACAATATCCCAAAAAGCAAAAACACGTTTTTAGAAACCGAAATCTTATTTACATACACTACCAGTCAAAAGTTGACAAACATACACATTCAAGGTTGTTGTTATATATTTTTATTTTGTTAATTACATTGTAGAATAATAGTGAAGACATCAAAACTATGAAATAACACATATGGAATCATGTAGTAACCAAACAAAAATATTTTATATTAGAGTTTCTTCAAAGTAGCCTTGATGACAGCTTTGCACACGCTTGGCATTCTCTCAACCAGCTTCATGAGGTAGTCACCTGGAATGCATTTCAATTAACAGGTGTGCCTTCTTAAAAGGGAATTTGTGGAATTTATTTGAGCCAATCAGTTGTGTTGTGACAAGGTAGGGGGGTATACAGAAGATAGCCCTATTTGGTAAAAGACCAAGTCCATATTATGGCAAGAACAGCTCAAATAAGCAAAGAGAAACGACAGTCCATCAACACTTTCAGACATAAAGGTCAGTCAATATGGAACATTTCAAGAACTTTGAACGTTTCTTCAAGTGCAGTCGCAAAAATCATCAAGCGCTATGATGAAACTGGCTATCATGAGGACCGCCACAGGAATGGAAGAACCAGAGTTACCTCTGCTGCAGAGGATAAGTTCATTAGAGTTACCAGCCTCAGAAATTGCATCCCAAATAAATGCTTCACAGAGTTCAAGTAACACACACATCTCAACATCAACTGTTCAGATGGGATTGTGTGAATCAGGCCTTCATGGTCGAATTGCTGCAAAGAAACCACTAAAGGACACCAATAAGAAGAAGAGACTTGATTTGGCAAAGAAACACGAGCAATGCACATTAGAAATTTGTCCTTTGGTCTAGAGTCCAATTTGGAGATTTTTGGTTCCAACCGCCGTGGCTTTGTGAGACGCAGTGTGGGTGAACGGATGATCTCCGCATGTGTATTTCCCACCGTAAAGCATGGAGGAGGTGTTATGGTGTGGGGATGCTTTGCTGGTGACACTGTGATTTATTTAGAATTCAAGGCACACTTAACCAGCATGGCTACCACAGCATTCTGCAGCGATACGCCATCCCATCTGGTTTGGGTTTAGTGGGACTATAATTTGTTTCTCAACAGTACAATGACCCAACACACCTCCAGGCTGTGTAAGGCCTATTTTACCAAGAAGGAGAGTGATGGAGTGCTGCATCAGATGACCTGGCCTCCACAACCCCCCAACCTCAACCCAATTGAGATGGTTTGGGATAAGTCGGAGCACAGAGTGAAGGAAAAGCAGCCAACAAGTGCTCAGCATATGTGGGAACTCCTTCAAGACTTGTAAAAGTATTCCAGATGAAGCTTGTAGAGAGAATGCCAAGTGTGCAAAGCTGTCATCAAGGCAAAGGGTGTCTATTTGAAGAATCTCAAACATATTTTGATTTGTTTAGCACTTTTTTGGTTATATTATTCTACAATGTAGAAAATAGTAAAAATAAAGAAAAAACACTTGAATGAGTAGGTGTGTCCAAACTTTTGACGGGTACCGTAAGTATTCAGACCCTTTTCTATGAGACTCGATATTGAGGCTCAGGTGCATCTTGTTTCCATTGATCATCTTTGAGATGTTTCTAAAACTTGATCGGTGTCCACCTGTGGTAAATTCAATTGATTGGACTTGATTTGGAAAGGCACACACCTGTCTATATAAGGTCCCACAGTTGACAGTGCACGTCAGAGCAAAAACCAAGCCATGAGGTCGAAGGAATTGTCCGTAGAGCAAGAACCCGATGGTCACTCTGACAGCAGTCCAGAGTTCCTCTGTGGAGATGGGAGAACCTTCCAGAAGGACAACCATTTCTGCAGCACTCCACCAATCAGGCCTTTACGGTAGAGCGACCAGACAAAAGGCACTCCTCAGTAAAAAGGCACATCACAGCCCGCTTGGAATTTGCCAAAAGGCACCTAAAGGAGTCTGACCATGAGAAACAAGATTCTCTGGTGAAACCATGAAACCAAGATTGAACTCTTTGGCCTGAATGCCAAACGTCACTTCTGGAGGAAACCTGGCACCATCCCTATGGTGAAGCATGGTGGTGGCAGCATCATGCTGTGGGGATGTTTTTCAGCGGCAGGGACTGGGAGACTAGTCAGGATCAAGGGAAAGATGAACGGAGCAAAGTACAGAGAGATCCTTGATGAAAACCTGCTCCAGAGCGCTCAGGACCTCAGACTGGGGCGAAGGTTCACCTTCCAACAGGACAATGATCCTAAGCACACAGCCAAGACAACGCAGGAGTGGCTTTAGGACAAGTCTCTGAATGTCCTGGAGTGGCCCAGCCAGAACCCGATCGAACATCTTTGGAGAGACCTGAAAATAGCTGTGCAGCGACGCTTCCCCATCCAACCTGACAGAGCTTAAGAGGCTCTGCAGAGAAGAATGGGAGAAACTCTCCAAATACAGGTGTGCCAAGCTTGTAGCGTCATACCAAGAAGACTCAAGGCTGTAATTGCTGCCAAAGGTGCTTCAACAAAGTACTGAGTAAAGGGTCTGAATACTTATGTAAATGTCATATTTCAGTTCTTTCTTGTTTTTATACACATTTGCAAAAAATTTTAAAAAACAGTTTTTGCTTTGTCATTATGGGGTATTGTGAGTAGATTGATGAGGGAAAAAAACAAAGAATTTAATCCAATTTAGAATAAGGCTGTAACAACAAAATGTGTAAAAAGTCAAGGGGTCTGAATACTTTCCAAATGCACTGTATAAATCCTATTGCAGTCTCCTGTAGGAATATTTATATCTATCACTGTTGGACTGCAAACATTCACCTCTTCATCTCTGTGGTCTAATAAATAAATAAAAAGACTTAACCCTTAGACTTATTCCACATTTGTTGAGTTACAGCCTGAACTCAAAATGGATTTTTTTAAATTTTTTTTAAAATCTCACCCATCTACACAAAATATACCCCATAATGGCGAAGTGAAAACATGTTTTTTGAAATGATTGCAAATTTATTGAGAATGAAATACAGAAATATCTCACACCCCTGAGTAGGGCTGGGCGGTATACCGTATTTTACGATATGCTGGTATTGATGTGTGACGACCCTCCAACTGTCTGCCAAATTCTTCTGACTACACACACACACCATTGTTACTTGGATATAGTTTACTTTATTTAATAAATATGTTTAATTTATTTATCTCCGCGTTGTCTCCCTCTGTTTTGGGCTACGAGCCGGTTCATAACACCTGTCACTCAAGGAGCGCATTTGTTGTTCCTCGACCACATGACACTTGCGTCCAGTCTGCATGGTCGATGCAGCACATGCAACAATGTTAAATCCACTAGCATTCTATAATTACACTTCGTTTGTGTTTCTTACATCTGCAAACAGATAGTTTGTATTTTCTTAGCAAGCTCGGCCTAAATCTTGTTAGCTTCTAATCGCTAGTTAGCTGGCTAGCTAATAAATGTACTGAGTCAGAGAAAATGTAATTAACTATACAGCCTGATAATACCAGTGATGGTGTAGACCTAAATCAGCATGTTGTTTGTGGTATTAATACTCCATCCAATGTGTAATGAATAACTTCACCATGCTCAAAGGGATGAAGTAGTCATTCAAAAATCATGTTAAATACTACTACTAAACAGAGTGAGTCCATGCAACTTGTGAGATTTGTTAATCAAATTTGTACTCCTGAACTTAAGCTTGCCATAAAAGGGGTTGAATAGTTATTGACAAGACATTTCCACTTTTCAGTTTTCATTAATTTGTAAAAGAAATCTAAAAACATAATTCCACTTAGGCATTATGGGATATTGAGTGTCAGTGACCAAAAAATCTAAATGTAATACATTTTTTATTCAGGCTGTAACAACAAAATGTGGAAAAAGTAATGGGGTCTGAATACTTTCTGAAGGCACTGTAGCGTTATACAGGAGGCTGCTTTGACTTCTATAAACCTGGCTGCTGAATTGAGCCTATAGTGAGGGCCAAATGGAATTAATGCAGTAGTCTACAATAGGCTAAACCACACTGAGTAGTTTGTAGGCTACCCATGCAGGACGCAGGCCTAACATTCAAAGTTGAGTGAGACGAGCTTGAATACTACAAGCACTGACAATATTTTCCCTGCCTGTCATCCCTTCCCCCAGTCAAGGAAAAGCCTAATCTCTGCTCAATGAGTATGGGTCTTCAAAGTAGGCCAGTCCTAAGTAGGCTACAACTCAGGCTATTGCTACATGTAGCCTAACATATCATGGTATTTCATTGCATCTCCAACATGTAAAAATAAAGATTTTTTAAAACAATTCTTAGCACATGATAATAACACACAACAAAATTGAGTAGAGGTTGCAGAGAAAACCCTATTTCTTAGTAAGTTAACATAACCTTGTAACCATCTAGCCGATCTTGTGTGTATTGTTATTACTCAGGCAGTGTCAGATGTTTAAACACTATTGTCGTTTTATCTCCAAATGTAGCCTGATATGAGATTGGGCTTCATACATAAATCACTAATGTGATCAATGAATTCATCACTTTGCACAGATTGGGCTTCAAACAAGGCCCACCAGGTTTGCCACACTACACAAAAAACCAAAGACTATATATGAAGCACAAAACCGAATAAACCTACCCACAAAACAGGCTGATGAGTTAATATTGTTTTTCTAACAATTAAAACTATGCAAACGTAGTTAACCTATGCTGTGCATGAAAATGAATACTATTAGGTTTACCAGGCCCTATAGAATACTTTTGCAGGCACACTCAATATTGATCCACTAACACAATGGACGAATGGAAAAACGTTCTGCTGCCATCATTTCAAGTTAAATATGCACATTTACATGGATGAAATTGGTTTCGTCTAGTGCAAAACCTAAAACACTAGTGCATTTGAATACAAGTCTGCACAAAAAGCGAACTACCTCTTCCCAGCATTAAGGAGCCTTAACTAGCTGGCTAGCCAACATTCAACTAGCTACTCGCTAACTAGCTTGGGAAAATTAGTGATGCTATGGTATAATTCCAAAGTAAGAGATTGAACTAAATATCGGAAAACACTTATGATGTATATAGTCAACTAACTACTATCATTGGACGTTAAAACAGGGAGTAATTGTGTTTTTTTATGTTCTGATGTGGCTAGCGCTAGCTAGCTACATTGTTGTACCTAACGTACACGCGCATCATCAGCCTGGAAGCTGGATGGAAGGCTGCAAACCACTAGGATGGGTAGTTGGACAAAAATGCTGACCTGGCAGAATTCCTGGCAGAAACGCAAAGAGGTATCAGACGGTGATTCCGAGCTTTCTTTTAGCGTTGTGGTCAATTCCTGGAACCGTTCTCGGAGCCCCTCGATAGCTTTCCTTATTTCATATTCCTTCTCTGTCTCTCCCTCCGCCATCTTCACAACAATCACGACCGCGTACGCACAGATGTTACGCTGCCAGACTTGCACACGCACGGACAGGGGGAGGGGAGAGACAACGATAGAAGTGCTACATTGGTGTCCCCAGCACAAGCATGCATGACCTTATATAAAAATGAGCTAAACAAAAAAACATAATAAATCACTTATTTAATGAAAGATTCCTATAAGATGTTGATAATTATGTTAATAGGCGTCCCAGCTATAACCTAGCCTACACACTGCATATTGCCCATAAAAAGAACATCAGCCTAGGCCTGTTGTTGTAATCAAATAATGTTCCCCTCATGCAATCTAATACTACAGAGTTCTGAAGTATTTGAGTAAATATGATGCTTAACCTACAGCTTGTTAGGCTACTTGAGGACATATAAACATAGGCCATACTAGGCCTACCTGAGGCTGTGTGATTATACACATGTTTTGTTGATCTATATGTTATTGAGTGTGGTGTGGTTTCGGAGAGGAACCATATTTTTTTGTTCTCGTAAAACCATAAACCATTGGTTTTACTCAAGGCATCAGTTTCTCAAAGAAGCAGAGAGATAATGTGTCAAAATAATATGCATGTTAAGGACAATTTAATAATTATTCAATTCATACAGTAAAGTCTACATTTGATCAACACAGTACAGGAATACAACTTTATATAATTGCAACCATTAGAGCACTACAAATATTCTCAGCAGACCATCACCTTTGGTGGATCGCAATGATTTCCTCATATGTGATTTCTCTTGATGGTCCAATGCAGCTGTTTTTATCTCAATATCAAATCATTTCTGGGTAACAATTAAGTACCTTACTGTGATTTTTTTCAATTCAAATGGTCAAAAAGAAACAAAAATAGCTTCTTAGCAAAGAGCAATTTCTCAAGCAAGAATTTGCTAGGACTGCCTGGGAGTGGTCTGAGTGTAAGGGAAAAATGAAAACTAGCTGTTATTGGCAGTGAGGTTTGAAACTCTCTTATTTGTCTATTAACTAATTTACCGCCTGGTGACATTACCAGGCAGGCCAAAATCCATCCCACCAAAACAAGCTGATATTTCAGGCGGTCTTTTCAAACAGCACTTACACTAAAAGGGCATTATCATCATTTTCACAGTTTCAAAGTATTATTCCAACCTTATAGTGTGAAAATATATATAAAACACAGAAAAATCACATGTTTGACTGCACTGGGCTTTTAAAACACAAGGAATTTCAGGAATAAGTTGTGCAAAATATATAGTATCTGTTGCCAAGCTTTTACTTCTGCGACAAGGAGATTTCCAGCCCTCACAGAGAGTTTATGACTTATGGTGATAACAAGTGCTGCAGTGACACTCTGTGTGGTTCGTCAGCTTGATGTTGTCGACCACCACCTGAGAGGAGAGAGAGAATCAAGAGAAAGTGAGATGGTTTTAAAAAACACATTCGGTAAATTCAAGTTGTTCTTTAATATTACGTTTAGATGTTATGTGATACTAGGAATGTCGTCATGTCAGATGATCAAACTTTATGTAGCTGAAGATATCAATCCCAACTCCTTTACCTAAATAGTTCATCATTGTCTTACCCTTTTCCCTTCTTTTGCAACGCAGCATGTGGCTTCAGAGGTGATGTTCTTTGGGACCACCATGGTTTTCTTGGACCTTAGTGGGGTTGGATAAGCTCTGGAGAAGCAGCAGCCTGTACACTGGTAGACAGGGGCACCCGGGTTTGAGAAGACTTTGTTCTCCTTCAGTTTGCATTCCTCACAGCCCACTGTAAAGATAATAAAACAATACATTAATAGAAAATCTATTGAACAGTCTGATCTGTAAACTTGATGCACCATGCAACACCAATGTGTTGTCTCTCTTCCTTGTAAGCACACACTTTGGGAGTAAGGAGGTCATGTACCAATTTATATTCTCTCTAATGACAACCTACTCCAAGAACAACTCACTGGTCATTTTGTTTCCAGAACATGTATACCATTAACAAAAACAGTACATTCAAAGTAATGTAAAACTTACTGTTTGTCATGTCACTGTTTGGATAAGAGTCTGCGATGTACAGAAGAATGGACAGGATGAGGGATACTCCAGTTAATTTCAACAAGCACATCATAGTGGTGGGTGGCAATAACCTGACAAGAAAAATTTAGAAACCATAGTTGAAAACACATAAACACAAAAACAGCAGTGAAACAATACAATGGAAACCCAATATACTGAGTGGAAAAAGCATTACCTGTTGTATGTGTCTCTTGGTAGAAGCCTGTTCAGTGTTCAGTGAAGAGCCTACTGCTCCCACCATGAACTTTTATACCGCTGTCCCTCTACCCATGTGCTCAACGGGCATTAGGTAAACCCCTCCAACCTTATCAGTGATCTCTGCGAGGCATTGACCACTTAGCTACCTGCCTCATAATCCTTGAAATGAAAAAAGGTATGGCACACGCGGTCGCAAGTCAAAACACACTTCCATCCTTCCATCCTGACTATGGATGGGAGCTTCTAATCCCTTAAACAGATGGGATGTTGTTACTAGGTAACTGCTGTTATGTCTCAGAGGGCGAGGCAGGGTCATTGGTTCATTAGTTGAACTTATGTTCATGGTCTTTTGCTTTGTAAATCATTACATCTAAAGTCATTTTTAATACTTTTAATATCTGATTCATCTTTCCATTCGGGATTATAACCCCCCAAAAATAAATAAATATGTACACACAAAAGTGATATAAACCATGAGGACTAGTCCCTGGCCGTGCTTTGTAATCCTCTAGGACAGTGCTAACATGAGTGCAAGCAATGAATATTGTATGTGAAATAATGTTATCATCCCAGAGAGACAAATATATATTTACATCAGAGACGTTCAATGTTATATGTTTATATTCATATAATAACATTAATGATTCAGTGTATCCTCAATTAAATTAGATGCTAATGAATGTGTATCCATCCACCTCTGAATGTTGGAAATGTCAAGGATGAATATTAAAGGGGCAATCTGTGATTGCTACATAAATGTTTTGACTTTTATATTAATGATAAACACTGAGTGTACAAAACATTAAGAACACCTTCCTAATATTGACTCCCCCCCAAACCCGTGCGCCCCTGTCTACCAGTGTACAGGCTGCTGCTTCTCCAGAGCTTATCCAACCCCACTAAGGTCCAAGAAAACCATGGTGGTCCCAAAGAACATCACCTCTGAAGCCACATGCTGCGTTGCAAAAGAAGGGAAAAGGGTAAGACAATGATGAACTATTTAGGTAAAGGAGTTGGGATTGATATCTTCAGCTACATAAAGTTTGATCATCTGACATGACGACATTCCTAGTATCACATAACATCTAAACGTAATATTTCAACTGTTGTACCCCATCAGAACCCAAAATATAAGCTTGTTTTACTCCATTGTTTGTAAACAATGTAATTGTAAACTAACACTTTATAGCCTCAAAACATAGATACAACTAGAATGTTGATATCATGGACGGTCAGTCCTTGCATCCATTGCTCTGTCTATGAATTTGAGTGGTTACATTTCTCCAGCCCCATCCTTCAGCTGTTTACCAAAACAGTGGTGGGGTGGCCGCTTTTTATTGTTTAAACTGCAGTTTGCCCCATTAAGATGCAGTACTATCGCTTCATCTTTCTGTTTACCGGTGTGTTTTTAAATCTCCCGGCCTTGGTTGCGTTGGAGACTAGGCCCTGGCAGATGTAACTCAATAAGCATTGAGGATGGCACATGAAATCTCTGAGATTTAAAGGCTCTTTTTAGCTTATGGCGCAACCATGTCATGAATCATAACTATTTTATCTCCACTCTTACAGTAATTGTATTCCTGGATTCATAATGTTAATTGTATAGGCTGCTGTAAATCACTAAGACTAATTGCTATTGGTGATTTATTACTTATATTGACAACTAAATGCATAACACAGAACAGTACAGTACAGTGCTTTTGTAATTGTAACATGCTGTAGCCTATATTATCTGTTATTTACTGTTCTGGATAAAAGGCACATTGTGAGAGGTGATTTGAAGAAGTCAGGCGCAGGAGGGTAAATCACAGAATACAGAGTTTATTCCGTAGTACAGAGTTACGCTGGATAGCGTCAAACAGTCCAGTGCGCAAAACAGGCGCACTGGAACAAAACAGGCACACAGGGAAAATATACCCCTGCAATACAAAGTACACGTAGCTCAACCGAGCTACTCTCTCCTCACATTAAACAATCACCCACAAGGACAAGGGGGCAGAGGGAACACTTATACATGTACTAATGAGGGGATATGAACCAGGTGTGTGTAATAGACAAGACAAAACAAATGGAATGATGAGACGAGGAGCGGCAGTGGCTAGAAGGCCGGTGACGACGAACGAGGAGAGGAGGCAGCTTCGGAGGAAGTCGTGACAACACTACAATTTTCTCAGTTCAAATGAAACCCTCTTTTATTCCAAAAGCAAAATGTATTCTTCATGTATAATTTTTTTTGGATATATGGCTTCTTTAATACATTGTTTACAGCCAATCAACAATCAGCCCAGACATAGCCACGAAAGCAGTCCTATTTGCACTTGTTACATCGGAGCAGTTTCTTAAAAGCCTTTTTGAAGTCCTCATTGAAGCTGGTGTAGAGCAGGGGGTTGATGAGTGAGTTAACGTATCCCAGCCACGTGAGGAAGTCTGACACCTGTGCTGAGGCATGAAACACCCGGAGGCCCACCAGCAACTCTTTAACAAAGAAAGGCAGCCAGCATAGGATAAAAGCCCCCAGGATGAGGCCCAGTGTGCGGGCAGCCTTCCTCTCTCTGGAGGCACAGATCTGGGTCCTCTCATCACAAGTCCCCCGGTCCCATGCCACCTGACTTAGGCAGGTGGGACCGTTGACTCTATTCAGCTCTGTGTTTAGCGCGGGATCTGAGGTAGATAGCTCAGTCGCACAGAGAGACATTGGTGTGATGCGGCAGCTACTGAGGCAGTTGTGGCTGCTAGCTCTCCTCTTACACAGGCTCCCAGAGGAGCTCTGTTTGTGGTACAAGGTCCGGGCAGTGATGAATATCCTGTAGTAGAGGATGAGGATGAGGGCCATGGGGATGTAGAAGGCCCCGAAGGTGGAGTAGATGGTGTAGCCGATGTGGTCATGCTCGATGATACACTTGGTGTAGTTGCCGAAGTTGTCATCCCCGCTGTGCCTCCAGAACAGAGGTGGCACTGAGATCAGGATGGAGATGGTCCACACGATGGTGACCATGATGGCGGCGCGGCGCGGGGATCTCTTGCAGGCGTACTCCAGGGCGTTGGTGATGGCCCAGTGGCGGTCGAGGGCAATGGCACACAGATGCAGGATGGAGCAGGTGCAGCAGATCATGTCCACGCTCAGCCACGCCTCACAGACTACACATCCCAACATCCACCTCTTTGTGGCGATGTAGAGGACGCTTAGGGGCATCACCAGGATGGCCACTAGGAAGTCAGTGACAGCCAAAGAGCAGATCAGGTAGTTGGCGGGCAGGTGGAGTTTTTTGGTGTACACGATAGCAAGTATGACTGAAACGTTCAATAAGGCAGTGATCAGGGTCACAATGCTGAGGAGGATCACAACAAGCACCATATCATTCTCTGGTTTCATTTAGAAGCAGCCTCCTGGTTCTGACATGCAGTTTGTTTAAACTTTTAAGCTCCACAACTATCCACCATATATTCCTCTTTCTCTCATTAGGTTACATTTGGCTGTGTACCTAGTCCAATGCAGATTATTTTCTCTTTCTTACTTCCATGCGTTCCGTTATTTGAAGCCACTGTAAAAATAAAATAAAAAAAATAGGGTATTATTTATTATTATTTTTGTGTGACAAAACATTGATTTGAGTAAGTTATGTACAGTTGAAGTCGGAAGTTTACATACACCTTAGCCAAATACATTTAAACTCAGTTTTTCACAATTCCTGACATTTAATTCTAGTAAAAATTCCCTGTCTTAGGTCAGTTAGGATCACCACTTTATTTTAAGAATGTGAAATGTCAGAATAATAGTAGAGAGAATGATTTATTTCAGCTTTTATTTCTTTCATCACATTCCCAGTGGGTCAGAAGTTTACATACACTCAATAAGTATTTGGTAGCATTGCCTTTAAATTGTTTAACTTGGGTCAAATGTGTCGGGTAGCCTTCCACAAGCTTCCCACAATAAGTTGGGTACATTTTGGCCCATTCATCCTGACAGAGCTGGTGTAACTGAGTCAGGTTTGTAGGCCTCCTTGCTCGCACACGCTTTTTCAGTTCTGCCCACAAAAAAAAAAAAAATCTGAGGACTTGGCTGATTTCTTTTGATTTTCCCATGATGTCAAGCAAAGAGGAACTGAGTGTGAAGGTAGGCCTTGAAATACATCCACAGGTACAGCTCCAATTGACTCAAATGATGTCAATTAGCCTATCAGAAGCTTCTAAAGCCATGACATCATTTTCTGGAATTTTCCAAGCTGTTTAAAGGCACAGTCAACTTAGTGTATGTAAACTTCTGACCCACTGGAATTGTGATTCAGTGAATTATAAGTGAAATAATCTGTCTGTAAACAATTGTTGGAAAAATTACTTGTGTCATGCACAAAGTATATGTCCTAAACGACTTGCCAAAACTATAGTTTGTTAACAAGAAATTTGTGGAGTGGTTGAAAAACGAGTTTTAATGACTCCAACCTAAGTGTATGTAAACTTCCGACTTCCACTGTATGACACAGTAAATTGAATAAGATACATGTTTTAGTTATTTGTATTCAAAATGTCACTTCTTCTCGATGAGTAGATCACTCAGACAACTTTTCTCCACACGGTGGCAGAACTGATCAGGGAATCTGTGAGCCAAGTAAATCAGTGAGCCAAATATTCAGTCATATTGGAGGCAGTTATGTTCAGAATCCTAACTCATTGCAGCCCCATGACATTAATGTCAATACTCAGCATAAATCCCTAAATGTAATCATTTTGCCCTAAACTCAATTTAGGAGCATGGGGAGCACACACAACGTTATTATTGCCTACTAAGGAGCAGGAGTAGATGCTGTTTTACATACGGGGCATATTGGTTTTAAAGACCATGTTAAAAATGACACATTTCAGTCAGAGTGACACTTCC